GACGGGAAATGCCGGACACGGTCGTCCGACAGGAAATGCCAGACACGATCGTCTGACAGGAAATGCCGAGCACGCTTGCCCGACAGGAAAAATGCCAAGCCCTGCTTGGCCACGATGAGTGCCTTCACAAGACACCTGCGCCCGGCTGCGATATGTGCCCCATGCGAGCACACGCCCCAAGCTGCAATCCCGGTTTTCTTTCTTCCGGTAGTTCCAGGTCCAGCCCTTCAGTGCTGCCGTCCTGGTCTTCAGGCCTTTGGTCCTATTGCTTCAGCTCAAACCTCTGGCTTCCTTCGGTTGCTGATCTTCACTCGGCTTCCGAAGGTCTTCTTCTTCCACAACCAGCAGTCCACAGCTGGTTCCTTGATCCAGCTGGCGGGGTTCGGGTGGTCTTCAATCCGGCTCCGAAGGTCCAATTGAAAAGGACCAGGTCGGATTTCCCTCTTGATCCTGAAAAGGACCAATTGAAAGGGACCTAGCGGATCGGGTACTAAGAAACAGGAATCGAGGCTTCTCTCGATCCGGCCTCCTATAACGCCTACGTTGGGTTCGGGAACAACGTATGTGATCTCCGCAACGGAGTAACACACAAGGGCGATAACCTCTTCCTTTTCAGCAAGTAGGTTCAGACGGGGATTACGGGTCTTCCGAAGTCGTCCCGGTCCCGACGCCTTAATTCTTCGATGTGGACTGTATAACTTAAGGGATGAATTACTTGGGAATGAAACAGCAATTATCTTCAAACCGTTCCGTGAGAGAGTAATCACTTTTCCCTATCACTTCCCTACACTTTTTCTTTCTTCTTCTTATTGACTGCTGGTAAGATCCCCGAACGAATTGCAATAAAACCCGTTCACTAAGCTACCCCAGAGCTATACGCGAAAGTGAGCCGCGCCATCTGCGCGCTTGCGCAACTCAATTACATGAATTTGTTCTATTACTCTCTCACGTTTCACTCAATATCTTTATTTATTCAAATCATATACAAATACAATTTATCAATATAGGTAGTACAAAACAATATCTACACCATGATATACATCATATCTTCATATCATAAAAAACCTTTTATTTATTAAACGAAAACTGCCTATTTTACTCACAAGTTCGAAATCGAAATTTCTTAAATATTTAACACAGAAAGTTAAAACAATGTTTCTCACTTGAATTTATACATAAGCTAACCAATACAATAGTTTAATTTACATTTTTTCTATTTATTTCACTATTTAAAACACTTTTAAATTTCTTATACAAAACTATCATTATTTCACTTATACACAGGAATTTTCACATGAAAATAACACAGAATTCACCTTTTTAGCACGTACAATCAACCTGAAATATTTTACAAGTAATTTTTACATAAATCACTGAATTACAAACATTTTAAATTTTTACATATTCGGCCTCCTAAGGGCGTGGCCAGCGTGCTTCCGTGTACTCACGCTATGTGAACAACTAACTTTGCACGGCTCTCGGCTATCAGAAAAAATTAAATTATGAAATACACCAATTTTGACCACATTAGGCAAATTAAATGCTTTTATACAATTTTCGAACTGTATGAAACTATCTTTAATCAGATAACAATATAAATGAATGTTCTCATTAATCAATCATAACAAATAGGCATTTGTTTTCGTACAAAACGTATCAAACTTATACAAAACAACATTTATGCAATTAATATCCATTAATTCTGCCTATGCACAGAGTGATTATCTCGACCGGGGAACAAATCCGATCTTTAACTTCACTTTAATATTCTTATGAATTTACATCATTTGAAAGATGATTTCAACCGGGGAACAAATCCGGTAACATAATTTATATCTTAAATTCCTTACGAATTTATTAAGCGATATTACTTAGGAAAACAAACAAACTAGTCCGGCCTGGGAGTCGAACCCAAGACCTTCATATCATTAATTCGACATTTCTTAAAGATTTAACTAAGCATTCTCTTATCAGAGCGTCGTTGCTCGTGACTGCCCCTTTTTTCATAGCAACGTCATCGGTTGATTTAATAAACTGAAACATTTTTATAGGCGCGTCGCCAACAAATATATATCCACGGTTTTCCACGCCGTTCCATTCATCATTTCTCTTTATCAACTTTCTTTCAAATTCCAATGCTGAACATAGTTTTAAAAAAAACGTACCAGATGTCATTCTTTACTTGGAAGCTTTATCCGTACTCATCACACTGGGCCAGTCGATTCTCTCGCACTGAAATTCTACTCCAGTGCGAGACCACTCACCGCTCAGAAGTTTGGGTTTATTTTTAGTACTTGGATAGATTCTTCAGATCCTTGTTCGTTAGCAAAATGTACCGTGTTAAAGACACTTGGATAAAATGTTGCTTCATTCCTTTTTACTCCTCATCAACATTTGTTTCAATCAATATATTTAAAAAAAAATATAACGTTTACGAATTATCGGGTCATATGTACGTATAGCGTTGCCAAGCGTCAGGATAAAGCCGGTCACAGTCAGGCTTTTTAGTTACCTGCCCGGCCAAATTAGAAGATGTCTGGCCCGTCCGGCTTTTGTTAGACTTTTTGTATTTGACATTTTTTTACATTTTTCATGTACTTAAATAAATTTTTTTGTAGGATAGGGTGACAAACGAGCACACAGTTCACCTGATGGTAAGTGGTTGCTGCGGCCCATAGACATCTACATCTATCCTCGATTACAAATCAAAATGCAGATGCGTTGTCACCAGTGAGGACTAAGATGGAATGCCTCGTTTCCAGTAAAAAGGGTCTCCGGTTCTCTACACTCACCATACGAAACACAGCAGATTCATTTCAATTTTATTGTTATTTCGTTAGAATTTAAGAAGATTTTATGGTAAACGATAAAAAGCATTGTTTTATTATTTTTTAATTGTCATGTTATACCTACTAAGACTAAAAAATTAAGGGTGTCCGGCCTTTTTACCATAATGTCCGGCTAGGCTTGCTAGTCTCTCCGTCTTTTCGGTTTTAATAGTTGGCAGCCATGTGTACGTTGCGGCGAGACTTACGCAACTTTAATACTGCTCGTATTAAAGAAGCGATCGAGCGGAACCAGGGCTCCAAAGTCTTTGCCAGAGATCTATCTGCCAGAAAGAGCCAACTGTCAAGGCTGAAGACTGAGTGTGGCAGCATCGTTTCCGGGACACCTGAGATTTTGAGTGAGATTGAGAGGTTCTATGGGCAGCTGTACACATCATCGTTGGAGCCACACGCAAGTGTGAGTAACGATCCAAGAGCAAGTCTTATCCGACACTATTCCGATGATATCCCGGACGTCAGTCTAAGCGAGATTAGAATGGCTCTCCAGCACCTTAAAAACGGCAGGGCCCCAGGCGAGGATGGAATTACAGCGGAGCTTCTGAAAGCGGGTGGAACACCGGTACTTGAAGTCCTTCAGAAGCTCTTCAATTCCGTCCTCCATGGTGGCACTACTCCAGAGGCGTGGAGCAGAAGTGCGGTGGTCTTGTTCTTTAAGAAAGGCGACAACGCTCTCTTGAAGAACTACAGACCGATTTCCCTTCTGAGCCGCGTCTACGTGCTGTTTTCGAGAGTCATTACGAATCGTCTCGCACGCAGACTCGACGACTTCCAGCCTCCCGAACAAGCCGGTTTCCGAAAAGGCTTCAGTACCATAGACCACATACATACCCTGCGGCAGATTGTACAGAAGACTGAAGAGTACAATTTGCCACTTTGCCTGGCGTATGTGGACTATGAGAAAGCCTTTGATTCCGTCGAAATTTGGGCGGTGCTGCAGTCCCTTCAGCGGTGCCAAGTTGACTGTCGGTATATTGAAGTGCTGAAGTGTTTGTACAGTAGGGCTACGATGGCTATCCGAGTACAGAACCAGAGCTCGAAACCTATCCAACTGCAGAGAGGTGTAAGACAGGGTGACGTTATATCCCCGAAACTCTTCACCGCTGCTTTGGAAGACGTTTTCAAGCTACTGGACTGGAAAGGATACGGTATTAACATCAATGGCGAGTACATCACTCACCTTCGATTTGCCGACGATATAGTCCTTATGGCAGAATCGCTGGAGGACTTAAGCACTATGCTCAATGACCTCAATAGTGCCTCCCAACGGATAGGTCTTAAGATGAACATGGACAAAACAAAGATTATGTTTAATGTCCATGTCACACCTATGCCGGTAGTTGTTGGGAGCACTATGCTCGAAGTTGTTGACGAGTACGTTTACCTGGGACAAATAGTCCGACTAGGTAAGTCCAACTTCGACCGAGAGGTCAATCGACGGATTCAACTCGGCTGGGCAGCGTTCGGGAAATTACGACATATCTTCTCGTCAGGTATACCTCAATCTCTGAAAACTAAAGTGTACAACCAGTGCGTGTTGCCAGTGATGACTTACGGATCAGAGACGTGGTCCTTCACTGCTGGCCGTATGAGGACGCTCAAGATCGCTCAGCGAGCTATGGAGAGGGCTATGCTCGGAGTTTCTCTGCGTGATAGACTCAGAAATGAGGATATCCGCAGTAAAACCAGATTGACCGACATAGCCCAACGGATTAGTAAGCTGAAGTGGCAATGGGCCGGCCATATAGCTCGAAGAACCGATAACCGATGGGGAAGAAAGGTTCTCGAGTGGCAGCCTCGTACCGGTAGGCGTAGTGTAGGGCGACCCCCCACTAGATGGAGTGACGACCTGGTAAGATATGCAGGAAGTCGATGGATGCAGGTGGCTCAGGACCGTGCTTTGTGGCATTACTTGGGGGAGGCCTATGTTCAGCAGTGGACTTGTGAAGGGCTGTGATGATGATGATGATGATGTGTACGTACATAGCGCAATACTGTAGTAACTTAAGAATGATAACGAATTTGAAATTAGAACAAGTTCCAGCAGCTATTTATATTTTGCATACAGTAACATTATACAGATTAGATCATCGGCCAATATATTGCGATAAAAAATAGATATTTTTTGTAAGCAACTAATTTACCGAGTTTCTTCAGGAGACGCTTTAAAGCACTTAACCCATATGATGAAAGAAAAGGACAAGGTACCTCTTGCACATATCCAAGGCTATGAACAAACATACGGTGACGCCGCACGAAGGTTCGTTGTAACAAACACGCAAAAAATACGTATTAGAGTATTGTCTATTCCATAAAAGGCAAAAGGAAAAAGGACATCATTTCATAGTCCATTATATTTATTTGATTATATTTAGATTTTATTTACATATTTTACTTAATTATTATTTTTACTGAATCAATTGGTCGTCATTATCATATTAACTTAGTTTTTATAATTAATTTTTGAATTAACTTTGGTAAAACGCAAGTAGTCGTAATAAGTGTACCGCGGGGGAAAAAAACACACAAAAAGTCTGTTTCACAAAAAATGTAAGTACGTTTTTTTCCACTACTATAGGTACATACATTTTTTTGAATAAAATTAATTATATATTTTAAAATGATTCAGAATTTCCAACGCTACAAGTCTTGATAACGAGAATGTAGATAAACCAACATATGCAAAGGTAAAGGGAAAGCTTAAAACTTTGGCAGAACAGAATCCTCTTCCGCAAAATACAAATGAGTTATCAGGTAAAAACACATCATATTCACACCTCCTAGCTGTGAAAGTTTTCTTCGAGATATTTTCAATTAATATTATCTTTTCTTTGACTTAGAAATTGTTGACGAATGTTCTGAGTTCTTGGCTTCACCACTCCCAGAAGGTAAGCACTGGCCCATTAATTTTTACTTTTATGGATGATACTCTACGAACTAAAAACTTTTCTGTTATATACAACAGACGAGATGGAAAAACGTCGCCTTTTAGCTAATTTGATGGCACGTAAGGATAAGTCCTTACTCGCCCAGAATGGAGTCTTTAAGTTAACGTATAATGATGCAGGACAGGAGTAAGTAAATTTAAATTGTTTCGCTTTTTTGAATTTAATTAATTAATTTTATATCAATTTTTAAAATTTAGTAAAATGAAGAAGATACGTTAATGTGATAGTCTACATACCTACACACATTGGCTTGATGGAAAGGTCTTTAATAAGCGTGACAGAAGAGCTAATAGCGGGCTACTCCACTTTTTATTAACATTTACTTTAGGACTAAAATGGAATGAAAGAATGCTTCTTAGCCCGTCTATACTGGCTCCAGATATCCATCATATCGAAAGATTATATTATTATTTATTATGATTGTATAATTGATCAACAAGTAATAATTTGGTTGGTGGTACTTAGTTTTGTCGTAGAAAAGTCGATAATTTATAGAATTAGGCGTTACTTTGCGAAAATCCATTATCATAAAGATATTACTAGTTACTTTACAACCATTCTCTGAATAAAATCAAATGATGTGTCTTACCTAGTTTGAAGAGCACCTCCCGCCCGCTAACCGCTAATCGGCGACTTAGCGGTCAGCCGCCGTAGACTCTTCATCACCTGAAGATGCCTCGTATAGAGGTGAAACACGTGTCGTATTATCGTCGATGGCGTGTCTTTCCTGAAAGAGTGGTGTTGGGAGCAGTGGTGCTGGGATTAGTGATGACAGGATTAGTGCACGCAATTGACGGAGGGCGGGAGGTGCTCTTCAAACTAGATAGGACACATCATTTGATTTTATTCAGCGGATGGTTGCAAAGTAACTATTAATATCTTTAATAGAAAAGTAACCCTACGACCTTCGATTAATAGTACTATTATTGATCGATCGAGCTTACGCTTAGGAAAAGCCTCGTCTTATATATATATATATATATATATTATAGAAATCGATTGCTGTTCTTTGGTCTCGCTAAAACTCGAAAATGGCTCGACCAATTTTCATAATTTTTGTGTGTATTTGAGTGGGTGGAACCCTGGATGGTTTAAAAACTCAATTTGACCTGTTAGGTGGTGCTGTTGTCGAGAACCAGAAATTAGTCGTGCAAAGTTGGGGCGTATCGCTAGTCTGACATATTTTTTTGTAGTAGGAAGCACTAATATTACCATTAATTACTATTACTATTACTATGCTACTTAAGTCTTGTAAAAATTAGTGTTCTCGCAAAATTTACAGCAAAACAAATATTTTTTTATAGTATTTAAAAAAGAAAAAGTGAAACATATTTCACATTTATTTATAGTGTAGGATTTGATATTTTCGAAACTGTTTTTTAATTATATTTTGGTGTTTAAATTAATAGCTCTATTAGGCGTTAAACATGCCTATGTTTAGGTTACATGCGTAAAAGGTCTTATTAAAGCCTCTGCTATGTACAAACTATAACAATATCAAGAAAAGTATTCAGATTACATTTATTTACATATTGTCTACAATAATCTGATCTGGTAATTTTTTCACAAATGCTTTAATTTTCTTATTTGAAGGGCTTAAAAAGTTGTAATTTAATGATTTTTTTTACTGCAAATATCTATTTTTTTCTATTAGAAGTATAAATGTAGCAAAGTCGTACTTAAAACCACATAAAATAGAACTATTTTCAAGTGAGTTAGAAATAAATAAAATTAAAAAAGTATATATTTTCGTACTTTTTACCTATATGCCATTTATAAACCAGAAACGCCTGAAAATTCTCTCAGTTCCGCTGGGATTTCTCAACGATCAGACGTGTGCAGTGTTTCTCAACGTTATTTTACCTCTTGCTCGCACGGTTGACGCAACTCTTATGGACTGAGCGGAGCATATCGTGAAAGTTGCTCTACTTAAATATATATTTTTTTTATTTAATTGTTATATTAGTTCTAGTTTTTAGTGTTTATATTAGTATTAGATTGATTGATTTGGACTTTTATATTTGGTATGTTTTATATATTTTACGTTTAATATATAATTTATTACCAAAAAAAAAAACGGAAAAAGATGGATAGAAAAAAAGAAGTAATATCCTTGTGTCAGTAAAAATAGTGGTAAAAGTAGTCGTAAAGTACAAAATGTACAAGGTAGAGGCGACATTTGTATGAAGAGGCAGTTTTTATTTTCCTTCGGTTGTATACTATACCCTTTTTAAACCTACACCCCGTATAAACATTACTAAAAACGACATTTATGAAATATAAAAGGGTAAAAAATTATACTACCACGACAAAAGTAAAATGAATATTTTTGGAAAAAAAAAAATAATAAGTTATATATTTAATGAAGTGGAGCACCTTCACCTGCGATCTCGAACGTATTTATGCACGGGGGAGAGCGCCCCCTCTAATGGCTGGGAATGTAAAACAGCAAAGCTAGACGGAAGTCTTAAGCGCAAATTGGCGGAATAGTATGGTATTGGAATAATTCTAATTGGAATAATTCTAATAATATAGTACATGAAGGTAATCTGATCATCCGGTTAATATGGTCACTTTCTAATAACTCAAAAACTACAGCCATGTTTGCATAGATGGCTTTGTGATACGATAGCTCTTCATCGGTCAATCACATAAAGGGTCAAAAGGGCGTTGCTTTATCGACGCCATTTATATATAGAGTTGACATTATTGTAAATATTTTGTCGGTTTCAGTATGCTGTAGTATATGTAGTTAGTTTGTTTAAGTAGATTTTTCGAAGTGTTCCTAATTATTGCCAAAGCTTGTTTGCATTTTTTTCTTAATATATTAGTTATAATATACGACTTTGTGTTTTTGTCTCTGCCCTTCTCCTAGTTTTGGTTTTATAGGGCGGCAAAGTTTAAGGTAACCATATTACTCTCACGTAACTTAGTACTAGTATTTCCAATTAACAATTTCAACGCTGTCGGCGAGGATCAATTTTGGGTAGCTTGTGTAAAATTTAATGATTAATTAAAATCAGAAGCAAGCCCCTGTTTTTTAAATGGCAAAAAAGCACAGTAGAAGGCTAGAGTTAAATTTATTTATTACTTATTCTAGGATTATACAATCTCCTGCGAATGTGGAAAAGATACTCGACGAAGGATTAAAAACTGAAATCTCACAGAAAATAAGTGCTACTGTACCGTATAAAAAGTTGCAGGACTCGTTAAAAGGTTTAAAAGTTCTTTGAATATATTTACTGATTGGTATGAGCTATAATGTGATCATACCTATACTATAGTTCATACCAGTAGTATGCGGATATTAGTATAGTATTAGGATTAGTATTAGGATAGTAGTATATTAGTACAGCTAGTGTTATAATTCATAAATTTAATCTTATTAACTCCAGATACGATTAACGGAGGTTCAAGTCATTTAGCAAACGTCATAAAGGGAAGAGGTAAAATTTATGTATATGGACCAATAATTTATTCTTATACTAGTCTATAATATACTGATAACTAAAATTACTTAAAGGAGAAGTAATACAATTGATACACGATGGTATGAAAAAAGAAAAAGATAAGGACTTCATTTCAATCGGAAATTTCAGTAAAACGCATGAACAAGCTGCTGAAATGTATGACAAATTTAATTTGTTTTTTACTTGTCATTTAGTTTACTTAATCCAATATTCAAATAATTAACTAAATTTTAACGAACACTAATTACTTTTAGTCCTAACAATTTGCAATAAAAGTAGCTTTTCTTTATAATATTTACACCACTTTTAATTTGAATATCGGATAAAAAATTACAAGCTAACATTCAAATTTTCTAAATTATAGTAATAATATATATTTCTTATAACTTTGTCTTCAATATTTAATTTTGTGGAAAAAATTTAGGCTAGAAAATGCTACAACGTTTAGCAGTCAGAATCCCTCTCCGGTGATTTTTGATAAAGTTTCCGATCGTGTTAGAGCAATTCCAATTGAAAACGTCAGTGCCCAAGGAAAACCACATGTAGAAGGTATTCGACCTACAAAACTTATAATTTGCGCGCTGACGAATTAATAACACTTTTAATTTTTTTTTTAGATGCAGTGGATACCGTTTCTAAATATATAGCTGGGGTGGCAACGGAAGAATGTAAGGATGTTCCGTCACATGTTTTTTTTTTAATTAGGCATATAATTATTTGATTTTCAATTTCTTAATAATAGGTGGATTGGACGCTAAAGCTCTTGCATCATTAAATGACGCTGCGATGAGGTAAGAGCTTACTGTAATAAACTTACTATAAATTAAAATATGCAATAAAATAAAACTTATTTTATTGTATATTTTTATGTTATAATCAGAGATCGGAATTGGGTGTGTGAAAATATCTAAAGTTTGCAGCTGAATATAACAAGGAGCGCTTATAACCATTTAAGTTGAACCGGTTTTCAGTTTTACCGGTTCAGTTTCGGTTTTTTTGTTCTACTTGTATGTTCTTTACCATTGAAACACCGAACTATAAACATTTGCAAGCTACTAATACAGTTTTAAATTAATTTTTGATTTAAACTTTTCAGGTTCTAATTTGATTTTTTAGTTCTACTTGTTATGTATATCTGTAACAATGAATGTCACACATCTGTAAACACAGTTGTCTAAACTGTATTACAAGCTGTAATACAGTTTTAGATATTTTTGTTGTTGTAGAAGGACTTTATTTTTTAACCGCCTTCAAAAAAAGGATGAGGTTCTCAATTCTACTGTTTGATTTTTTATGTATGTATGTAACTCGATTACTCCTTCAAATAATGATAAACTTTATTGATTATTTTTTATTAGGTAGGTCAAATATTTTAAATAAAAGCAGAAATAAATTTAAAAACATTTATTTCAATCGCAAGAACGTTGTGCATATGCTACTTTCCACATTCAGAGTTCGGATATGCAATAATATTTTTTTTTTGTAGAATTGATAAATATTCTTCTGATGTAAAAAGAGACCTGGTGTTTTTCGCGGTACAAAAAACCATTGCCTAATAGCCATTGTTTAATAGTTAAAAAATTCAGTCTGTCTCCTCCGCGCGCTGCCGTAGCTTTTGTTTTAACAGATAAACAATTGCAGTCTTGCAGCGCAACTTGTTGAGTTAACACGTGTTATATTATCGATATTTTGATCGGTCTCAGTTCCGAATCCAGCTTACTTTTGGACTTGCGCCTATTTTTAACCTGATGTTGTGGCTTTGCTGTGTGTAGATGTGATTTCGAAGATTACGGATTACCTGTATTACCTTGCCACGCATAAGTATACTGTTACGAGCTTGAGGTTCGTGACAATAAAAATTGCCGATAAAATTACCTAAATTAACACTTTAATTTACTTTACACAATTAAAGTTAAAACACTAATAATTTAAACACACTAATTCACTTAATTCCACTCCGAAGCTTCGCTTGTTTCGCCTAAATCAACACTGCCTCCATCGCATCTTGCAGCGCCTATATATTTAAATTAGCAAAGAAATATCCAGAATGTTCAAGTAAACACGCGGAAGGTACCGAGCGTTCGAGTTTCGACTAGGCGCTGTCAGTTGAGTGATTTGTGATGTCATTTTCTCAATGCTCCCCTCGCTCTCGTTCCTGACACTAGATGGCGCTAGTTGACTTATTCATGCAACACTGCCCCCTCCTAAGACATGCTCGTCCCGAGCATTATCGGTCCCATAATAACGCGCCAAGCGATCCACATGGACGATCTTAGGAGTCCCTCTTGCGCCTTTCTGTATCCGGTAGGTCACATCGTTGATCCTGGTTACAATCCGGTACGGGCCGTCCCATTTAGCTTGAAGCTTAGGAGATTTCCCTTTGCTGCGGACTGGATTGTGCAACCACACAAGTGAACCTTCGTTGAACCCTTTATTGTTCATTTTGCGGTCATACCGGGTTTTCATCTTTTCAGACATTTGCTGGCCCGATTGTCTGACGTGCTCATAAACGTCATTCATTTTTTTTCGCAAGTCATTTGCATAATCGGTTATACTGCGTGGAGCATCGGGTGGTATCCCGGTGATCAGGTCTGCAGGCAGCCGTAATTCTCTTCCAAAGTTTGCGAAAGCTGGTGTCACTGCTGTACTTTCGTGAACAGAACTTCGATATGACAACAAAAACGGTTGTATGTGCTTGTCCCAATCTCGTTGCCGATTGTCTACAACTTTTGCTAGGTACCTCTCCAATGTCTGATTAAATCGTTCCACCATTCCATCAGATTGCGGGTGATAAGAAGTCGTTCTTGTTTTATGAGTACCCATAACTCGGCAAGTTTCCTGGAATATTTGAGACTCAAAATTCCTTCCTTGATCGCTGTGAATCTCTAAAGGTACTCCAAAACGACAGAAGACTTCATGAACTAGTTTATCTGCAACTGTTGAAGCTTCTTGATTTGGAATGGCGAAGACTTCTGGCCACTTAGTGAAATAATCCATCACAACCAAGAAATACTTGTTACCGCTTTCACTCTCCGGAAACGGCCCCGCCACGTCAATGGCTATTCTCTCCCATGGTGCACCCACATTGTACAACTTCAATGCACCTCTACTACGAGTCTGAGGTCCCTTTACAGCCGCACAATTTGTACATTTGCGACACCAGTCCTCGACATCGTTTCGACAGTGGACCCAGTAAAACCGTTCTCGGATCTTCAGTAGAGTTCGTTTAACTCCCAGATGGCCTCCTGAATAATCATTATGGTACAGCTGTAGAACATCCGGTACTTTAGCTTTAGGGACAACCATTTGTAAATGACAGCTGTCTCCCCGAACATTTTCCCATTTACGGCACAGAACTCCATCCTGAAGCAGCAAGCTGTCCCACTGGGCCCAATAGCTTTTTGTGGTTGAACTCATCGCTGAGACGTCCCTCCACTTAGGCTTGGTAGCACGGGCCTTCATCCATCCCAGAATCGGCTTGATGTCCGGATCTTCCTGCTGTGCATGTCGTAGGTTGTCCTTCCATTCGTTGCTGAGGTGGTCCGTCCTGAGCATCCTCACGGATACCACTTCCTTACTCTCTTGCCTACTACAATGGTTGCAATCTTCAGGACAAGGTCTTCTTGACAATGCATCTGCGTTGCCGTGAGATTTCCCGCTGCAGTGTCTGATAGTAAAGTCGTATTCCTGCTGCTGCTGGGCGGTGCTGTTAGCCGCACTTCCTTTCTGAGACCGTTCACCTTCCATTCCTAGGGTGTGCTTAGGGCAGCTGGACCGAAGATGGCCCCTTTCCCCACAGCCATAGCACCTAGGGCTGTATCTTTTATTGTGGTCGCGAACCGTAACTGCTGTAACCTCCCTAGCGTGAGGTGAACGATGATCCTGTCGCCGCCAGGCAGTGCCGTTAGCTGCACTACCCTCTCGAGATCGATCAACTCTCCTTTCCACGGTTCGTTTAGGGCAGCTGGATCGAAGATGGCCCTTTTCCCCACAGCCATAGCACCTTGGGCTGTATCCTTTGTTGCGGTCGCGAACTGTAGCGGCTGCAACCTCCCTGACGCGATGGGAACGATGATCCTGCCGCACGGCTTCTACCTCCAGTGCATGGGCCAAGGCGTCCTTAAGCGTCTCGTGGTGCCCGAGTCTCACAGCAGCTCTGACTTCCAGGTCACGGATGCCGTCGATAAATGTCTGCACCAGGTTCCCTTTAATGAGCGCAGGTACAGACCGGTAAGCTTTTCGCACCAGCTTCTCCACCTCTAGAGCCCACTGCTGCAGGTTTTCGTTGATGCGCTGCACACGATCTTTAAGCTGCGCACGAAAGACGTGTTCCAGGTGAGCGTCGCCATATCTCGCCTCCAATGCCTCAAGGAGTTGCTCATAAGTCACTTCCTCACCGAGAGCTTCCAGAACTGTTAAGGCCTGGTCGCGCAGGCCTAGTGTGAGAGCAGTCATGGCCTGACTTTTATTCCAGCCGTTCGCCTTCATAACAGCCTCGAACTGGATTTTGTAGGCTGACCAGGAAGAGGTACCGTCGAACGGTGGCACCTTGAACCCACGTAGCGAAGGTGTTGTAGCTACTACGGGAGCTGTAGCTCCACCTCCAAGTTTGAGTTCGTCCAGTGATTTCTTCATGTCAGCCATTACGTTGTCAACCCGATTGTTTACTTGGTCGATTCGGATTTCAGCTTTCTCGATTCGGTGTTCAGCTTCCGACAGGCGGTTGTCATGGTGAGCAAGCCTATCCTTCACCTCCTTTATCTCCTTCCCGAAGGTAGCGTGAAGGTCCTTCATGAGGAGCATCTGTTCCTCCTGTCGGCGGGCCTGTTCCTCCTGCTGCTCTTTCAACTGACTGGCCTGTTCCTCCTGTCCGCGCTTCAGCTGCTCTTCGAACCGACGAGCCTGTTCCTCCTGTCCGCCCCGCAGCTGCTCTTCCAAACGACGGACCTGTTCCTCCTGTCGGCGACCCTGCTCCTGCAGCATCACCACTAAGTCAGGTGCTGCAGATGTAGGAGCTACTGACGGGCCTGCAGCTGGCGGCTGGCCCTCCGACGTCTGCGGCGTCGCACCACCAAATCTTCGTTGGTCCGTCTCCTGCTGGCGTTGACTTCGGGTACGGACACCCTCCGTTTCCTCCTTAGGTAAAATCGGCATGATTTTATCCCACTTCTGACACCAATTGTTACGAGCTTGAGGTTCTCGACAATAAAAATTGCCGATAAAATTACCTAAATTAACACTTTAATTTACTTTACACAATTAAAGTTAAAACACTAATAATTTAAACACACTAATTCACTTAATTCCACTCCGAAGCTTCGCTTGTTTCGCCCAAATCAACACTGCCTCCATCGCATCTTGCAGCGCCTATATATTTAAATTAGCAAAGAAATATCCAGAATGTTCAAGTAAACACGCGGAAGGTACCGAGCGTTCGAGTTTCGACTAGGCGCTGTCAGTTGAGTGATTTGTGATGTCATTTTCTCAATGCTCCCCTCGCTCTCGTTCCTGACACTAGATGGCGCTAGTTGACTTATTCATGCAACAATACCAATAATACTGGTAAAATATCTAAAACTGTATTACAGCTTGCAGATGTATAAAATTCAGTGTCAGAGATACAGAACAAGTAGAACTAAAAAATCGAATTTGAACTGTAAAAGTTCAAAACAAAAATTAATTTAAAACTGTATTAGCAGCGTTCAAATGTTTATAGTTCGGTGTTTCAAAGGCAAGAAACATGTGAAAAAAACCCGAAACTGAACCGGTAAAATTTCAAAACGGATTCAACTTAAGTGGTTGTATCTGCTCCATGTTATGTCCCGCTACAAACTTTAGGTATTTTCACACACCCAACTCCGATCTCTGGTTATAAGTCAGTAATCTATGGATTATAATATAAGTAATTCTAATATAAAAATATAGTAAATAAAATATATTGTATTTATCAATACAGAAATGTATTTCAAACAAAATTACTATCAGATACAATATAACTATACTACATAACGATACAATATAACTGATGGTGGAATTTTTTTCATAATATTCTAAAGTATTACATAATATGGAATGATTAATATGTTGCAACTTACCCGTACAATCGTTATAGAATTATTTACGAATAATATGCACCCCGATTAAATTCAAATCATTAGATTTCTAAAAAATATATTAATATTAAATCTTAATATAGTTGAAAACCGTTACTATTTTTTGCTAGCGTTAAAGTTGGTGATGAAGCCGCAGGAAAGAGCATATCAGCAAAAGGATTGGACGCTAAAGCTCTTGCATCATTAAATAACGCTGACAGGAGGTAAGAGCCTCCTATAATAGTAATATATTATATGTTTTATATTATAGCTATTTGTATTAAAACATTTTATGTTTTAATATAAATAGCTACAATATATAAAATATAGTATATTGTATATAACAATACAGATATGTATCTCAAACAAAATTATTATCAGATAAAATAACTGATGGTAAGAATTTTTTATAATATTCAAAAGTATTGCATAATATGTTGCAACTTACTCGTGCAATCGTTATAAATTTGAATTATTTACGAATAAAATGCACCCCGATTAATTTCAAATCCTTAGATTTCTAAAAATTATATTATTATTAAATCTTAATAGAGTTGAAAACCGTTACTATTTTTTGTTAGCGTTAAAGTTGGTGATGAAGCCGCAGGAAAGAGCACACCAGCAAAAGGATTGGACGCTAAAGCTGTCGCATCATTAAATAACGCTGAGAAAAGGTAAGAGCTTCCTATAATACGAGTAGTAACATGTTATATTAATCATTTTTATGTTTTAATATAAATAGTAATAATATATAAAATATAGTATATTGTATATAACAATACAGATATGTATCTCAAACAAAATTACTATCAGATAAAATAACTGATGGTGGAATTTCTTATAATATACTGAAGTATTACATAATATAGAATGATTAATTTGTTGCAACTTGCTCATACAATCGTTTGGAATTATTTACGAACAATAAGCACTTCGAATAAATTTCAATCCCTGGATTTTAGAAAAATATAGTATTACTAAATCATAATAGAGTTTACTATTTCTTGCTAGCGTCAAAATCGGTGATGAAGCAGCAGAAAAGAGCATATCAGCAAAAGGATTAGACGCTAAAGCTCTCGCATCATTAAATAACGCTGAGAAGAGGTAAGCATTTTATATTATACATTTTTATATTATAATATAAATAGTTATAATGTATAAAATATAGTATATTGTATATAACATATTATATATATATATATACGTACTACACAAAATATAGTAATTAAAAATATATTGTATATAACAATACAGAAATGTATTTCAAACTAAATTACTATCAGATAATAACCGATGGCGGAATTTCTTATAATATTCTGAAGTATTACATAATATGGAATGGTTAATTTTTTGCAACTTATAATAGTTGTAAATTTGAATTATTTACAAATAATATACACCTCGATTTAATTAAAATCCCCAGATTTCTGAAAAATATATTATTATTAAATCATAATACAGTTGAAAAGCAAATACTATTTTGGTAGCGTCAAAATTGGTGAAGAAGCCGCAGAAAAGAGCACATCTGCAAAAGGATTGGATGCTAAAGCTCTCGCATCATTAAATAACGATGAGAAGAGGTAAGAGCTTCCTACAAAAATAACATGTTACATTAAAAAATATGTAAGGATATAAATAGTTCTAATATACAAATTATATTATATAGTAATACATAAATGTATCTCAAACAAAATTAATATCAGATAAAATAACCGATGGTGGAATTTGTTATAATAATCTGAAGTACTACATATACATATGGAATGATATTAAATTAAAATCCGTGGATTTCTGATGAATATATTATAACCAAATCATATTAGAGTTGAAAAAAATTACTATTTTTTGCTAGCGTCAAGATTGGTGATGAAGCCGCAGGAAAGAACACATCAGCAAAAGGATTGGACGCTAAAGCTCTCGCATCATTAAATAACGCTGAGAAAAGGTAAGAGCTTCCTATAATAATAACATAAATATATTAAGCATTTAATGTATATCAAACAAAATTACTATTAGTATTAGATACAATAAATGATGGTGGATTTTTTTTAATATTTGAAGTATTACATAACATGAAATGATTAATATGTTCCAACTTACTCGTACAACCGTTATTAATTTCTATTATTTATAATAATATACACTCCGATTAAATTCAAATCCCTGGATTTCTAAAAAATATATTATTACATGTCGGTTGGGATCATCGGGATCTACGGAATGCAAACTTCCTCACCTTTGAATTATTCTTTAAGTATCGTGGCGTAAATCATATTGTTCAAAAATTTACTTACCACCAAACGCGTTTCGTTGCACTGTTTTAGTTGGTTTATGTGCATGATTAATACGGAGCCAACCTTTAGTCGTAAATTATGCAGTGGTAAACCAGGCACATCCAAGGAGCTTAAAAATTCAATTGGATAGTTGGTGGCTTCATCTTCATTTGTTACACAGTCAGTAGGTTTGAATGAATGCAGTGTACCAATGATTTCATGCATACATATATCTACGTACATATATCTTTATTCTTAGTCGCCAAAATTACTTGCTTACTCAACCATTCATTATTTTTATGGTTAGTAATAATATTTGGGAATACTTTGTTGAGTTCGTTTTTCGATGAGTTACAGAAAAAGTTACAGAAATTCGTAGGATATGAAATCCGCTCGATTCGTCGACAGATACTCAACTATTACCAATAGTCAGTAATTGCTCAGAGAAATCTTCAGTAGATGTATCGTTCAGCAATATCATAGTTCATAGTTGTTGTCAGCTGAAGTTTCTTCACATAGCGCCGTAGATTCGATGATTACTGGCAGTGTTTGACGAAAATCGCGAGGTGGTAAAATCATTGCGCTTCCAATACCTCTCGAGTCATTTGCGTAGATCTTTCAATGTTGGGTTAAGTGCTTCCAATGCACATTTATGCGCCATTGTGCGTTCATCATGATGATTTTCGACGCTGATAAAAATTTTGCCATTGCGGGGTGTTTTGCTATATTACATGTTGGTTCTTCAATAGTTTGAAGATTTAACGGTAATTTAATTATGAATGAGCCGTACGGTATCCTTCTAACAATGTGACTGCTATTACAGAAGAGGCATCTTTAACCGCAATGTTGGATCTCGCACGAACAGTGGCTGAAACTACTGACATGAGGAGTGTCTTACCAGTTCCACCAGGGGCATCCAGGAAATATAAACCACCATTTTCATCATCAATTGTCTTCGTTAATGTATCATAAACTTTAATTTGTTGGAGATTCAACAGGGGTACATTTATTTAAACTATTAAATCTAATTCCTTCACGTTCCCGTTCTAAGTCTCGATTAAATGCGTCATTCATTTCACGATTTGGCACTGGCATTCCTAACCTGACTAATATACTATAGCACATGAGGTAACACATGTCTTCGAAAAATAGCTAAGTCCGAATATGTATTTCCTCATTCATATGAAGATCGGGATTTCTTGAACTGACACGAATTTGATGTAAAATGTCTTCTGACATATTATCCTTGTATTTATACCACAGGTGAGATGGGTTTGATGGAAAGCATGTCGAAATGATGATAGCAAATAATGTGCGTCTGACTTGGAGATGCAGAGGTAATTGCTTCAACGATTGTCGTATCCCAATGGGTATCGTTTTCTAGTAAATTGAGTTCTTTACATGTAGCACGATATGTTGGGAATATTGTACCATTAACAGTCCTTAGTGACTCAAATGACGTTGACCCACGCATATTTACCAGCAAAAACTGCAAATAGAAGCATTCATCATTCTTTAGATGAACTGTATACATACGACCAAGAGCATCAGTAGAACGCACATCCGGATAACTAGGAACCGCATCGCCCTGCTTCCGTCATTGAAAATTCTTCGATGAAGCATTCCAAGTGTAATAACGTGGCATATCCAAGTAAAGCAAAGTTCGTGCAAACGGATCGTTTTGGCAAAGAAACTGGTCAGTGTTGTCACTGGAGTGGTTTCTTGAGCACGTTGAACAACATTTGAAGTCGTGAAATATACTCGTTTACCATTCCCCAGATGCATCGCCAAATGCACAACAGTAGGGTGACGTTCATGAATAGGGAATGCGAATATTCGTTGGTATTGGAGGTTTGGATGACAAAAACCGCCTTATCACTGCCTTTCGTGACATATATGTAGACGTATTTTATGGACTTTACTGAATTGCAATACTCAACGTTACAATGTGTCTTGAACGTTTTGTAAATAAGTGGCGAATATGGAACAATCTAACTGTTGTCGACCACGAAATCCATTATTTTCACTTTTGTAGTGATAGTTCGACCGTTATTATGGGGTGATCGACGCCGATACAGTGGATAACCATCGTTGCCAGTGACGGTCTCCGCCGTTAATTTCCGTAGATATCGTTTGGAACACTTTCCGTTGACCATGCAAGGTGATTGGGGCTTGATAGCGCCACACGGTTCATGAATCATATTTGTAATTACAACATCATGTAGGTCTTGATCGGCTTCGTGATGGGGAACCTCGGCACATATGATATCATCTATTTGGTCTAGTTGAATTCTTTCCAGTAATCAAATAAGAATGTGTGCATGCGGCAAGGCTCGTTTTTGCCATTTGATTGAATATATCCAGCATCGAGTATCTCCAGCGTTGTTTAACAATATAGTTCATCAGGGACCGCATTTTATGCCTGAATACACGTGTTGTGATGTCGTGTCGATCACTTGATGTTTGTCCGGGAAGCAGCAATGGAACAATTTTGTATCCATTTTGGATTACATGTAAAAGTAATAAAGAGATCTGGCCGATCGTAATGACGAACATATGTTGTTGAATCTTGCGCATATTCATGCATATGACATGGACTACCTATGTACGTCATCGGCAGAATAGTTAATATTGATCATATTAGCTGCATTTCTTTCAGTACTAATTGCATCACGTAAATGGATATACTCCTCATAACGCAATTTGGCTGGTTTCAACCGAGTGAAAGTTAAGCGCTCCGTTTTTATTTTCACGTACATGTCGACGCAATACTGCTGAAGCAATTGACGCAATTGCAGCAAATAGTTGTCAGCATTTTGACGAATTATCAAACTATATGCGTAATAATTCATCGAGCTAACTTTCTTGGTTGTTTCTTCCCCTGAAATTAAAACAGTAGAATAAATATTCTGTATGTAAAACTTACATCCATATTTTTAGCTTAATTATAAAAGGGTGAAAATAAGTGATTTTAAATTGGTTCCCAGTAATTTGTACAATTTGCTCTAAACAAACAGCCCCTAATCTTTAAGTCTGTTCTTACAACTTCATATTTCCTGGTAATAAGCTTTTATTGGAGACCAAAACCAAAACAAAACACTGTAAAATGTGTGTCATGTTGAAATCAATACTATGATATTGATACTCACCATTCAATGGATTTTTCATTTTGATATAAAAATAATATCCATCTCCTCCTTGCCAAAACATCAACGGATATTGCAACGTGTCATATGAACGATGTGTTTCAGATAATTGTTGCAGTTGCCCAGTATCGCGACGTGTAAGCACAATATCGCGTGTTTCCAAGTTTTCACCAACAATCAGGATGGCAACTTCATCTATTGTTGGAGCGTTAAATGTTCGTTCTTATGCTCCAGATGGTTATTCATCCGCTCTGATCACGACTTTGTAGTCATCATTTGGCATTAAAAAAACAAAGCACTCTTGAATAGCCTGACCAACGCATGATGTTCATGAAGTAGTTGCTGCAGATCTTGAAGAATTGCTCTATTCATTGATGCATTGATCTCTTAACGTCGATCAAGTTGTTCATCCATATTGCCCATGAATTAAAAAAAATATGTAAAATTTTATTCTTCGCGAGGTTGCAATGATCCAATTCGGTGGTGAGTCTGTCCTTGTATGTACAAAATCAAAAGCAGTCTTCTTTTTTTTAGAATTAGCATACACATTACATAGGATAAATATAATATGTTATTCTTCTACTGTATTTTGTGTAAGTACAAAAATAAATAAATACCTTGGATATCGGATTAAATCCATTTGGAAACAACTATTGTATTTTTGAGTGTTTGCTAGAAAATGTCGTGATTCGGATGTTTCGCCACGAAGTAATGAGTGCAATGGCTCGCATATTATCATTAATAATTGTGTTGGCAATGGCAATTGTTAATTATAATATCGGCACAATAAGCTAATAGAAACTCGAAACTATGGAGTGTAGAGGTACCTCTATACTCCATGCTCGAAACAAACACATCAACCGGTCAACTTCAAATTTTCAAATTGTAAATTTCAACCATACTTAACCATAGACAACATTACGTTTAGCTGTCAGTTGCGTTTTGTTGTACCATTTTTAACAAATGAACGGATAGACTCATGTTTTGACTGACAAATGTTTCGTTTTGCTGTCAGTTAAGTTTTGTTATACCACGTTTTATGTCACGTTCAATGGGAACGGGATAAAAAGTATTGCATGTCTGTCTCCTGGTTTTAAGCTACCTCCCCACCAATTTTCAGCCAAATCGGTGCAGCTGTTCTTGAGTTATAAATAGTGTAACTAACACGACTTTCCTTCATATACATAGATATAAATAGTTATAATATATAAAAAATAATATATTTTATGTAACAATACAGAAATGTATTTCAAACAAAATTACTATCACATACAGTAACTGATGGTGAAATTTCTTACAATATTCTGAAGTATTACATAATATGGAATGATAAGTATGTTGCAACTTACTCGTACAAACGTTATAGAATTATTTGTGAATAATAAGCACTTCGATTAAATTAAAATCCCTGGATTTCTGATAAATATATTATTACCAAATCATAATAGAGTTGAAAACTATTACTATTTTTTACTAGCATCGAAATTGGTGATGAAGCCGCAGGAAAGAGCACATCATCAAAAGGATTGGACGCTAAAGCTTTCGCATCATTAGATAACGCTGAGAAGAGGTAAGATTCTCCTATTGTAATAATACATTAGATTAAAACATTTTTATGTTGTAATATAAATAGTTATAATATATAAAATCTAGTATATAACTATACAGAACTGTATCTCAAACAAAATTACTATCAGATACAATAACTGATGGTGGAATTTCTTATAATATTCTTAAGTATTATATAATATGGAATGATAAACTTTTTTCAAATTTACTCGTACAAGCGTTATAGAATTATTTGCGAATAATAAGCATTTCGATTAAATTAAAATTCCTGGATTTCTTATATATATATATATATATATATTTTTTTTATATATATATATATATATATATATTATTACCAAATCATAATAGAGTTGAAAACCATTACTATTTTTTGATAGCGTCAAAATTAGTGATGAAGCCGCAAGAAAGAGCATATCAGCAAAAGGATTGGACGCTAAAGCTCTCGCATCACTAAATAATGCTGAGAAGAGGTAAGATCCTCCTATTGCAATAACATATTACACTAAACATTTTTATATTATAATACAGTGTGTTAGGGATTGGACTTCCGATACTTAACCCACGTGTTGTTCATTAAATTTTATCGACAAAATACCATATAAAGGCGGTCGCACCCCTCACCCCTCTGAATGTGAGCAATTTTTAATTTCAATATCTCGTATTCTTCCGAGTTCACTGAAAGTCGTTTAATTTATCATTTAATGATGTCTACATACATGAATGTGACCTTATTTTAAAAGTGATGAAATTAGTTAGCATATAAATCCAAACTTGTTATGTTTTTTGTATGGTATTTTGTTGATAAAATTTAATGAACAACACGTGGGTAAAGTATCGGAAGTCCGATCCCTAACACACTGTATAAATATCTATAATATATAAATTATAATACATTAAATATAGTATATAATAATATAGAACTGTATCTCAAACAAAATTATCAGATACAGTAACTGACGGTGGAATTTCTTATAATATTCTGAAGTATTACATAATATGGGATGATAAATTTGTTGCAATTTACTCGTACAAACTTTGTAGAATTATATGCGAATAATAAGCACTTCGATTAATTAAAAGTCCCTGGTTTTCTGATAAATATATTATTACCAAATCATAATAGAGTTAAAAACCATTACTATTTTTTGCTAGCATCGACATTGGTGATGAAGCCGCAGGAAAGAGCACATCAGCACAAGGATTGGACTCTAAAGCTCTCGCATCGTTAAATAACGCTGAGAAAAGGTGAAATCCTCCTATTGTAATAACATATTAGATTAAACATTTTTATATTTTAATATAAATAGTTATAATAAATAAATTATAACATATAAAATATATCTGTTTGCAACAGTATATCTGGACCTCTTTGCCATATTATTAATGTAAGCATATTAGCAGGAATATTTCCCGAAAGGCTGAAAACGGTTAACTATAACCACAACCAATTTATATAAAGAATAATAAAGAAGACATGTCTAACTACCGACCACTTGCTTTGCTTCCCGTGTTTTTTAAAATAATTGAGAAAGTTATTTACGAATCTATTTATGTATTTTTAGCTAAATTTAATATACTCTGCGTTACTCTGGTTTCGAAATAATAAAAGCATAAATATGGCTGTTTTTGACTTATTAAAAACGGCAATGGCTAATGTGGATACTAGAAACCCGATATGTGCTATATATACTGACATGTCAAAAGCCTTCGATTATGTAAACCATGACACTATTACAGAAACTTAACGCATACGGCATTCGAGGTAACGTTCTTAACCTAATAAAAATCATATCTGACTGGCCGCAAACAATGTACAGAAATTGCTAGAATATGTATTAAATCTAAATGTGAATGCAAATATGTATCATCCTTGAGAGAAATAAAATTCGGCGTACCGCAGGGGAGTTATTTATTTTTACTTTATATAAATGGGGGTGTTATTTTTACTTTATATAAACAACCTCCCACGTCAAATTCATCATCCATTGGTGTTATTTGCCGACGACAGTACAGTTCTAATAAAATGTCTAAATAAAGATTTTTATGAAAATGATATAAACACTACTATTAAAACTATAATTAACTGGCTGAATTATAATAATTTACATATCAATATTGAAAAAAACTAAAAATATGCGCTTTTACCAGAAACTTCGCACTGAAGATCTAAATATAAATTACAGTAGTCAAATAATAGAAAGAGTAGATGTCGCAAAATTTTTAGGTATTTATATAGAAAGCCCTCTGGAAACATGATTGGCTGGATGATTGGCATTGGATGTCGAGGGATTGATAGAAGTCAATACAACAGTTACCGATGAAGAGAATGTCGAGACGGCATGTCTACAACCTAAATGAATCAATCAGGGATGGTCGAGTGTTGTAATATTCAACAAGTGTCAATATTTGTTTACAGGTACAGGATAAACCCATAGAGGTTTGTATGCTAGTATTGTACTGGGTAGTGTAGCAAAATTATGGATAATAAATTAAAAAAAAGGTGGTGATAACTGATAGGTTGACTGCCGGCCGCACGAGGACGTGCGATAGTCAGAAGTGGCCGTGTCAGCGCGTCAATAAAGTACAGAGAGGTTGCATCACTCTAGAGGAATGATCATATTCATGGTGGTATCATAGACTTGAGGTTATATCGGGAGCCCAATAGTTTCTGCAGTGTGGACTCCACTGTGGGTGCCATGAGCAAAGGATTCCGACAAGATCATTGAACGAGTGCTGCGACTCGTAAATTAAAAGTAATGTGGTTTCGCCATTGTGTTGGTTCTTCTAGTGCAGGAGAGTAATTGTGATGTTGCTGACGGTGTTCATACTTTGGTATTATTGTGTTATTGCGTCCCTCACGTTACACTACCGTGTGATTGTAATGGGTAATTACCGTGGTTTGGTCGGGCTATATTGCTCCTGCAGAGCAAAAAAAAAATAGAAAAAAAAAAGAAAAAAGAAGAAAAGTGAGAAAAAAATGGTTCTTACTGTCAAACTTAATCGAAAAAAAAATTGAGAAAAAAAAAGAGAAAAAGAGAAAATAAGTAAGAAAAAAAGTGGTTCTTGCTATCATTGAAGGGCTTATGCCGGACCAATGATATGGCTACAGTGAATAGTGATTCCGAACTAGCAGAGAGTTTTGAAGGGCATGTTGCCGGACCAAAACTGATTAGTATTGCAGGGTTCAAAGGAACCGGACCAGAGCTGATTGTTCAATATAGACCGTACTAGAACATATTGTTGAATGTGTAAAAGTTTATGACTTTTGTCAGGATAATCGAACGATGTTTTTCTGTCTACAGATAACTAAGATTGTGACGCAGCGCGTGCGAGGACGCACGCATGTCAGTATGGCCGTGTCGCAGTGCCTCTGTGGGTAGTCGGAATTATTGTAAACAACATATGCACCGCACACCTGCGCATTGCACCTGCAGTGGCGCTCGTGTAGCTACTTGACTCGATTGTATAACACGGACGGAGCGACCACCGTTAAAGCAGTCTTGGAGCTGGCGTGGCGCGGTGTACTTGTTGTATCCTGCTACTAGCTCATCCTCGACTATTCGGATAATTAATTCGTAGAAACGAATTAATTATTATTCTAGCTATTAAATTAGTCTCGGTACAGTTTATAGTTGATTACCTGTGATCCGTGTATTTTGTGATTGTAAAATAATTCTATTTAACTGCCTCCCTACATATATTATTTCCAAATCATAATAGAGTTGAAAACCATTACTATTTTTTGATAGCGTCAAAATTGGTGATGAAGCCGCAGGAAAGCGCATATCAGCAAAAGGTTTGGACGCTAAAGCTCTTGAATCATTAAATAACGCTGAGAAGAGGTAAGATCCTCCTATTGCAATAACATATTACACTAAACATTTTTATATTATAATACAGTGTGTTAGGGATCGGACTTCCGATACTTAACCCACGTGTTGTTTATTAAATTTTATCGTCAAAATACCATACAAAGGGGGTCGCACCCTTGACCCCTCTGGTACCTGTCAGGGGATAGTTGATGTGCATGTAAGTAGTGTGTGGTAATGTGTACAATGTGTAACCTGACATCCCCGCTGATCCTGGACTGCAGATCCCAAGGCGCTGCCTCTCTCCAAATGTGGGATCCCTCCAGGGGGGCGTTCACCAATTGAAACTTCTGCTTCTATTTCACTATATTAGTTTATCAACTTTATTGTACATTTAATTAACTTCAAATTCAATTAGGCCTCTTTTCACGTAACACATTCAAAACAGACAACTAAATTCGAGGCGGTCTAGACTAGACCCATATATTCAATAGTAAATTCAAAATGGCGGGCACAATTATCTCAGATTTTAGGCCTTCAATCAAAACACCGGCCGCCCGCAACCGTATACCAGTCACAAACAATACTTAAAACGGTTACAACAATAATTATATTATACCGGCCTCGTTATCACGAAAACAAATTAAGATAACACTGTAAGAGGCTCGCGACGTTCGACGCAAACTATTATGTAATGCCCGACGTGAAACCGGCACGGCTGTAGTCCTCCAAAGTTCCTGCCGACTGGGGCGCTTGCTGTGCGCGTGCGGCCCAGCAAGCCCTCGCCTCCCGCGCAACGCTAACCGTTTCCTCACCCCGATCGAGACGCGCGATGGAAGTGTAACAATCGTGCTTGAACACCAGGGGTTAATATCATACATTAATACATTAATATTATAATAACCCTTTTTATACAAACATAGTTTTTGAACTTTGAGCAGCTCAAATTATATAATTTTTTTTGGGATTTTGTTGTAAAAGAGAACGCATCGCCCCAAGAATGATTTACTGACTGTGGATTCTACTAACTGGTACTATTAGCTTGTGAGTGTGATTTGCAAGATGATGTTGTGACCAGGATTAAGAAAGGAATGCTTCGGTGGTTTGGTCATGTGGAAAGAATGAATGAGGAAAGAGTGACAAAGAAAATTTATGTTGCAGAAGTGAATGGCAGAGTCAGAAAGGGATGTCCTAGGCGAAAAGTTATCGACCAAATTGGCGATTTATTGAAAACGGGCCAAATTAGGAGTACCCTTAACCGACAAGTATGTATGCGTAGGTGTATGGATGTGAAGGAGGCGAGAGAGGTGTGTCAGGATCGTCAAACAAAGGGGGTCGCACCCCTCACCCCTCTGAATGGGAGCAATTTTTAATTTCAATATCTCGTATTCTTTCGAGTTCACTGAAAGTCGTTATCATTTAATGATGTCCACATACATGAATGTGACCTTATTTTATAGGTGATGAAATTGATTAGCATGTAAAATTAAATTTGTTAAAAAAAATGAAAGCCTTTTAGTTAAAACGACGAACGAAGTACGAAAAACATACTAAAATTTTGTGTTTATTTTAAGTTATTGTGCTGTATCTTGGAAACTAGGTCCTTAACATATTGTTTTCTTCTTCTTTTAATTTGTTCGCAATCAGCTACGCTCAAGTTTTACTTTTTTCGTACAAGTACTTTTATTATTAAATGTTTATGTGCACATTATGATGTGTAGTTTTTGTCTCACTCGTACCTCCTTATCGTAGAAATATTTATTTAGTAGAGTAGATTATTTTTTTTGCAGTTTTGACTAGTGTTTGTTGGACCCCGTTTCTAAATTTTTAATTTTAATAACAGCGGAAATTTGAAGTGGGTTTACTATCGTAGCTAGTAGCACAACAACTAAAAAAAAACTAAAAAAATTACTAAGTTTTCGTCTAACTCAAAGGCTTTTGTCAAATTTTTTTGTTGTTTTTTTTCTAACAAGTTTGGTTTTACGAGCTAGTTAATTTTATCACCTTTAAAATAAGGTCTCATTCATGTATGTGGACGTCATTAAATAATAAATTAAACGACTTTTAATGAACTCGAAAGAATAAGAGATATTAAAATTAAAAATTGCTCCCATTCAGAGAGGTGAGGGGTGCGACCCCCCTTTGTATGGTATTTTGTCGATAAAATTTAATGAACAACACGCGGGTAAAGTATCGGAAGTCCGATCCCTAACAAACTGTATAAATAGCTATAATATATAAATTATAATACATGAAATATAGTATATAATAATACAGAACTGTATCTCAAACAAAATTATTATTAGATACAATAACTGACGATGGAATTTCTTAAAATATTCTGAAGTATATCACTACTGTGACTAATAATATGGAATGATAAATTTGTTACAACTTACTCGTACAAACGGTACCTATAGAATTTATATGCTTATAATTCACGAATAATAAGTACTTCGATTAAATTTCAATCTTTGGATTTCTGAAAAATATATTATTACTACGTCATAATAGAGTTGAAACCGTTACTATTTTTTACTAGCGTCAAAATTGGTGATGAAGCCGCAGAAAAGGGCACATCAGCTAAAGGAACGGACCCTAAAGCCCTCGCATCATTATATAAAGCTGAGAAGAGGTAAGATTCTCTTAAAAGAACATATTACAGTAGACTTTTTATTTTATAATATAATTAATAGTTAAAATATATGAATTATAATATATAAAATACAGTATGTAATACAGAAATGTATTTTAAACAAAATTACTATCAGATAAAATAACTGATGGTGAAATTTCTTATATGTTCTGAAGTATTACATAATATAGAATGATTCATTTTTTGCAACTTACTCGTACAATCGTTAAAGAATTATTTACGAATAATAAGCACTTCGATTAAATTCAAATCCCTGGATTTCTGAAAAATATATTATTACTACGTCATAACAGAGTGAAAACCGTTACTATTTTTGCTAGCGTCAAAATTGGTGATGAAGCCGCAGGAAAGAGCACATCAGCAAAAGGATTGGACGCTAAAGCTGTCGCATCATTAAATTACGCTGAAAAGAGGTAAGAGCCTCCTATAATAATAACATGTTATATTAAACATTTTTTGTTATAACATAAATAGTCATAATATAAAATTTATAATATATAAAACATAGTATATTGTCTATAACAATACATTTTATATTGAACATTTTTGTTGTAATATAAATAGTTATAATACATATAATATAGTATATTGTTTACAACAATACAGAAATGTATTTCAAACAAAATTACTATCAGATACAATAACTGATGGTGGAATTCCTTATAGTATACTGAAGTACTACATAGTGTGGATTTATTAATTTATTGCAACTTACTCGTACAATCGTTATAAATTTGAATTATTTACAAGTAATAAGCGCTCTGATTAAATTAAAATCCCTGGATTTCTATAAAAATATTATTATTAAATCACAATAGAGCTGAAAACCAGTACTATTTTTACTAGCGTCAAAATTGTTGATGAAGCCGCAGGAAAGAGCACACCAACAAAGGAGAACAAGTTTGTAATGGAAGACAGTAGTAAGACGACAGAAAAAAGTGATTCACTAGGAAAACAAGCACCAAAGTCTACTGCAAATGTAGACCAGAGAGATGGTAAATTTATAACATAATTTTTCCTTTGCTATTTTGTACAGATACTAAACTATTACGTTAACATATATTTTCTTTAATCTTTACTTTGTCTTTTGGAAATAAGTCATAAAATTATAAATATTTTAACAAATTTATTTTATTTTGCTTATATTATATCTAACAGGCCTCTTGCTGATTTCATCTAAGCCTCAGAGTTCAAAAATACTTACTTTCCTTAAAGGCATATTTAAGATATTATATAATATCATAATTGTAAGTAGGTACACTATTAAACTTAAAAATTTTTAAGGTTTATTCGTTAGCCTGCATTGCGTGGTAAATTAGGACCTAAGGCCGTCAAGAATATGCAAAGGCGTTTATTTTGGACTTGTGAGAATTCACAGCACCGGCACTTCACTGTTAAGTTACCGCTACTCTATCAACAAATTATTATAGTAACTCATTATAGTTACTGATATATATGATTTTGAAAAAGAAACATTTATTTTTACAGAAGTGGATCCGGATCGTGAACAAGCTCTACAAATATTGCACTCAAAGCTCAAAGCACGTGGCGCTGAAACTTTTTACAAGCAACCTCGCAATGACTTAACTCACGCGCAAGCTTCTGATTGGTATTACATTTTTCTGATAGAAACCGTAATTTAATATGTAATTAGAAATAGTTATCCTGACTAGTGCGAGTTGCTACTTTTTCATATAAAAATTATTTATTCTAATAAGAAGAACTCTTTGAACAATTTGTAGTTATTAGATAATTTTTAAGTAGAATTTTCTACGTCAGATAATAGTTTAAAATGCAGCTGACACTGAGATCCGGAGACCTCAACGCTGAACCGATCTTACGGTCGGTTTTTCTTTCTGTTTTGTTGATTTTCATAACATAACGAGGGTGTTTGAAACGAAACAGTGTGTAAATGACGCCATTATTTTTTATCACATGTGCCTCAGTTTTTATGTTTTATTTTTGTACGTTTTCTTCATTTATTTCTCTGTTTATACAGAGATAGTCTTCACTTAATCAATGAACATATCAATATTTTAATGTTTATTTCCTGGCCATTCAATGACTTTAAGATTATCCGATTATTTTTGTAAGTTACCATAAATAGTCGAAATTGAAGTCTTGCGGTAATGAAACGTGTGTGCAACATAAATTATGAGTTAAAATAAATTTCCATCCTTTTTAAATACGTGGTATCTATCATCAATCAAATAACAATTGTGACAATTAAGCCTGAAAATTTTAATGGAGTTAGGTTGCTTTCTGTACGCGGCTACCTATTTATTTATCGTTGTACGTTGCGCTAACACTGTAGATTTGAGTTTGACTACCTACTCTACATGGGCTCTTAATTGAGTCTAGGTGCCTCATGGTCTCCCGGTAAAAATTCTCTAAGATTTCCACGGAAAGTATAATGAGTTGTCTTACATTTTTACTCAAAAATAGGCCGATGATTATTTATAGTATGTTGTAAGGTTGTATTACCTGCTTCGGTAGTTTATCTACGGTTCATCAGTTATTATGGAAGGTGCATTTTGCAAGGAATGTATTATTTGTAATGTACGTTTTAGTATATATTACATAGTTCTAATGTACATTTTCAGATATTTTGTATGTAATTGATTGCAAATTTGATGACAAATTTAAAGTTATAAGAAGTGGCCTAGATTTTTGTTGGAAGTGTCCGTAAATCGAGTGGATCAGGGAGCGCAGGGTGTTATCGATGAGGAGTAAAATGCTATCCTCAGGTTCACTCGGTGCTTATAAAATGTAAAATTATCTTCTTTTAAAGCATATGGTCAAAATTTCTATCTAGATTGGCAGCTACTAGGTTTCGTATAACAAACGCTTCTATAACATCCTATGAATACAATATAACAATGCATTCAAGATGTTGTCGGGGCTTCCGAGATTTGCAACGCATCGAGGATGTTTACCGATGACGTTCACGTTAACTAGTGTTTTTCTTCGGATTCAATTTTAAAATTAATAAAGTTAATAATTTAGTTAAACTGGTGTTCCAGCCCGGCTTCACACGGGCGATTTTTGCATCTCGACAACAGCGCCACCTATCGGATCCAATTATAAATCTAAGCCATTTAGGAATACAAATATTTCACCAATATCGGTCCAGCCGTACTGAAGTGATAATCTTTCATACATGTGGCAATTGATTTTTATTTATATAGATAATCATCAAGAACCAATTATATTATCAATTTTTAATTTAAAAAATTCATCGCTATCAGTTGAGCCACTCAGAACATATCAGCGTGGACAGACAGACAAACAATTAAAGACAGACAAACAGTAAATTTTATAAATGGTTACTTTCAAGTACTTTTACTCACATAGGTATAAGTTTATGATGTAATAGATGTTGTCTTAAAGAAATATTATATATTTAATTAGTGCGTTGGGGTAATACCGGACGATTTCGACTAGTTAAAAGAGTCGGGCAAAAACTTTATTTTCTCGACATCCATATACGTCAGATTTCTGAAACATGGCGCAAATTGTTAATGGTTACACGTAATTTAGCTATAAGAAGCTTTTACTTTTCAAAACTCAACAGTTTCTGCTTAAAACGTGTGCGAAGACAAGGCATAGTTTTTTATATGCATGATTTATCATGCATATAAAAAACTATGCCTTGTCTTCAATTCAATCAATCTTCAATTCTTTAGAATTGACCATCAAGGGGTAAGACCGGTCGTCGCTAAAAATCGCAAATAAAAATGATAGGGACGAAAAAAACACAAAAATTACCTTGTTTTATAAAATTACACGCCTTACTTTTCGGAGGGACTGGCTGAAACTTGGGGTCGGGGCAGAATAAAATGGAGTCTTGTACCCCATATTGCTAGCTTTCAAAAATATAGCATAATTCACCGGGAATTTGAATTTTACGGTCTTACCCCATCACCGATCTTACCCCAATGCCCTATTATATTTTATTTAATAGTATTTTAGCAATGGGGGTTTTAGAACAGTTCGTCTAAATGAACAACGTGTGTGTAGCCCTTTTCTTTTCCGACTTGAATAAATCTATACGTCACGTGGAGTCATCAGTATATTCACTCAAACCTTGAAGAATCAGCGTTAGGATTATACAATACACATGTTCAGTACATGAAATAAGAATCGGAAAGAAAGAAAGAAGAAGAAAAAAAGATTTATTAATTACTTAACACGTTTCTTTTCCAGGTTGTCGAAGAAACCATTTAGTGTAGATAAGTCTGTAAAAGAATCAGCAGATACTGCACGCTTGCACAAAAAGTTTGAAAGAAAGCTAAGTGCCCTGGTCGCTACGAGCACGACACCTTTAACGCAAGACGCAATGCAAGGTATGTTATATCTAATATATTAATATTATTCAACATTTTGTCTACCCATTCAACAACAATTTGCGATTGCCCTTATTGATATATTAATTTCATCGAGTATTGAATTCGCGATTGGATATCTGAATTTTACGTTGTTTTATATTTTTAAAGCAGTTTTGCACCTATGTTTTAATTTCTTTTATAAATTACTATTTACAGATGTCATCATCGAGACTTCCAGAAACCTTTCCGAATATTTTATGTCTAAAAGTAAGTCATGTTAATTTTTTTATAAAATTATTTCATTTTCCACTCCTAAACACACTCTATTACCTACAAAATTTGTGGATCCTCGTCATAAAAGCAATCCTTTTAATTTCGTTTTATTAATAATAATTAAGTATCACAGCATCGTAACTTCTTGATGGAATAAGATATATTTTTATTGTAAAAGAAGATTGAAAGAAAATTTTGTTAGATCCTTTTAGTTGATAAACTATAAAAAATGCGAATAAAAGTGTTACGTATGACTTTAAAGGTTATAACGTCCTTGCACGAGAAGCCGTTATATCAGAGATGCAGAACCGTGGTAACGAGATCCTCGTAGAAGTAGATGGGGCAGCTGAAAGTTTCTTCTATTCTGCACAAAGGTAGATTATAATATTATTCATTACCTGTGTATACATTAATGCCCTTAATTCTATAAAAACCATAGTTTTTAACGTCCAAAAAAGTTTTAAAGTCCCACTATATGCAATAATATATAAGCTAGGGCTTTTTAATCTTTACTCAACAACATCTACTCTTAAAAGGCTTGCACATATCGTATTCATCACACTTAAGAGACGGTTGCATTATTTATGCAAATAAATGAAGTAAAATTTTTTCACAACAACAAAATTAAGGTTATCTATATAAGTATATACATGTTTTCCTAATTTTTCTATTTTAACAAATCTCCAAAAAAAATATTTGGACAGTCAAAATAATAACAAAACACACTATAAACATATAGAATAGTAGGAAATATGTATGTAGTACAATGTAATATTTCTTTTAATACTATATTTTATTTCGATTATCACTTACATTCGTTTAAAATCTTATTCAAAATGTAAGTTTTTTAATTTTAGATTGAAAAAAGCCAAGACTCTTGACGCAGAGAAACCTTGTTCAATTCAGTATCACATAGTAAAGAAACTAGAAGAAATGATAAAATCTCGAGGCAGTCTGAGAAAACTAACTTCACACATAAAAGGTATAATATATGTGTAAATAATATTAAATAAAAAATTACAACTATATAGAAAAGCTTTTGTAAATTATATATTTCTTTTTCGCAGATTACATTCACAGTGCAGGGGAATATTTATCTGAACATGTAACTAAACCTGGTAAATATTTTTGGTAATTTTATTGATAATTTCATCTTCAGTATTCCACGAAATGTAATTTGTGGCAGTACCTTCGCATTTTTAAGCATAGTATATCGTCAAAATAACATAATATACATAGTGGCGATGTTGATATGTAATCGATTAAAATAAATTAAGCAATGTAGCATAGTTTTACGTTGTTATTTTGTTTAATAACAATTAAAATGACGATTCAAACTTACCAGGAAGAAAAAATACTTACCTAACTTGTAAAAATTCACTGCTGGATGAAGCCACATAGGCCTCCCACATAGATAAGTTTGTAGGGTATATTTACTATATTTGTCACGCTTTTATTTAAAAAAAAAAGCCTACTAGCAGTATTGTTAACAATACATAGTTGAAAGTTATCAAAATATTAGTTTCCTAGTACGCGAGCAAACCTATTTCGACTAAAATTTTTAATTGCGAATTTAAGTCCTTAGTTACTTCATCAGCCGTCCCAGTAAAATTGCGCCACATCGTGCCATTGTGGGTTGCTCTTTCTGACATGTTAGTAGATTTCAGGTCGTTTTTTAGTATTTACAGCCGGGTTATTTAGATAGTCGTCCACGGCCTTTCTTCCCCTCTTCTATGTTCATAACTCTTTTAGTCGTATAGTCATCATCCCGTCTCATCACGTGTCCGTACCAGCATGGACGGTTTTTTCTAAGTTTTTCGTGCACAATAGCAACCTTGAAACTACCACAAATATAATCGTTTCTTATTTTACCATTCTAAAAACTCCTCCATACCAACCTAGCATTTTCATGTCAGTGTGGTAAATTTTCTGCTCATCCGTCTTTCTCATCGGCCAGCACTCAGATCCATATAGCAGAGCTGGTCTTAGAGCTCTTTTGTATACATTGGCCCTTATTTTAATAGGCATATAATACGGCCGACGTATCTTGGCGAGTCTGAACATGGGCTCTGCGAAATTTAGCGCATGTACTCTCGTAAAGTAAACTGTTATTGTATTTTTTTAAATATACCAATGTAAGAATAAAATTTCCCTAATAGTGTGACCAATTAGTACAAATAAAATAAATATCAAAAAAGCAATTTGGAGACAGAAAGCTACAAAAATAACATATAAAGATTCAATTTCGATACCTCACCGGTGGCCTCTATAGTAGCCCAGAAGCCAGGCTTGCTCTATCAAACTGCTCAATCAATAATATCAACTAATAAACTCGTAAACTGTTTCAAACTATTTCAAATTTCCCGCGTGCTCCTCTTTTCTAGACAGGTCATGACCTCGTAGCATATATGTAACGTCAACACTTGGCAGTTTGCTTTCAATTCGAAATACACTGGACTATCAAAATTAATGAAAGCAAGGAGTTGATTTTGTCGTCTCTCTCACACGCGTTGGCTTTTTATCGGGCTTTCGAGAAGACGATCGCTCCCTTTCTAACCTGTGGCAAAATGTTCTCTAATGAAATATAACTACGAAATGTTTATATAGCAATTACCATGGAACCAAAAGCGGGACTTTGCTCTGAAGTTGTTTAGGAGTTTAACGAGTGGGCGTGCGGGCGATACGTTTGCAAGTTCACTTAAAATTTCAATGTATACGTTTGTTTTTGTTGTAACTGTTGAAAATTTATGCTTTTTCAAAGATTTTTAGTGAAAATGGAAGGATAATAGTGTTCCTTGAGATGAAGTGTGTTGTGTGTGTTGAAGTGCTAATCGGCGAGGAAAAGGTAAAATCCTTAAAAATGAAATTTTAATTTAATAAACATTTTATTTATACCTTCATAGGTACAGGACTCTTAAGTATTAAAGTTAAATTAAGCTAGGTGTATTTAAAGGTTTAATAATTCAATATTTATATTACCATATAAGTTAAAAATATCATTTTGAACGGCAGCATAAAATATGAGATAGGTATAACTTTAATTATATAGCAAATAATTGTTACAATCTTTTTTAATGTGAAGCCTAAATTTTAATTTAGTAAATGAAAATAATACAATTTACAAAGAAATTTTTAAAGAATATTTCATTTAGTCCTTCAGTATATAAAATTTTAAGAGCGCCATCTACTTAATTCTATAGATGAAGTCATTTTATCGAACGAAAATTGACTGACTCTTGAAAAATACGCTAGATAGCACAAACATGCTATCGGCTAATTTAATAATTCAATATTTATATTACCATATGAGTTAAAAATATCATTTTGTACGGTTTACTAAAATTTGAATGATGAAATGAATGAAAGTGACCAAAGAATCGGTGCCCCGCAAACAGTAGTAACGGCAGAAAATGTATGTGCTACTGAAATGTTGGTGCGAGAAGACCCACGAATCACATATACGGACATCGAAAAGATTGTAGGCATTAGTTCGAGGAGCATTCATACCATCCTACATTTTTTTTGCGCCCGAAGCAATTAAGGGCAACCCTCCGGTAACGGGGGAGGGAGGCAGTGAATGCTCATAGCCATACCACGCAGCCGGCTGCGTGGTTATGTGGAGACTTTTACCCACTAAACACTGCGTACTAAATAAAATGCGTCTATGTTTTGAAAACGGGGCATCTAGGCGTGTTTCTAAAATCGTTACTGGTGACTAGACATGGATCTATCACTATAATCCGGAAAATAAAAGGCAATCATCGGTATGGGTCTACTCAGAAGGACAGTTACCTACAGAACTGCAATGACCTCGCAACGTCGGCAAAAAAAATGGTGGCTAGTTTTTTTCCCGGAGCTGACATTTGTCGACGTTAACGCTGAAAAAATGTAGGTTAGTCAACTCTGAACTGTATACTACAGTTGCATTACCCAAAGCTTTTCAAGCCGTGCGGGAGAGACCAAATACCGGGCTTATGGGAATCATGCTGCATCACGATAACGCCTCTTCACATACCTCCCTCAGAACTAAAGCATTTATTGAAGAATTTGGTGTTAAAACTCTTAAGTCACCCACCCTACAGCCCTGACTTAGCTCCTTGTGATTTTTTTGTTCCCAAGAGTCAAAGAAAAAATAAAAGGCAAGTTTTTTTCAACCACCGAAGAAGTCGTGGCTGCCTACGAAAAAGCGATTTCCGACCTGTCAGATCAAGACTGGCAAAAGTGTTTTCAGAGTTGTTTTAGGCGAATGGGACTTTGTATAGAGCATGATGGAGAATATTTTGAAAAGATGTAAAATAAATATTAATAGTATCTAGAATTCTTTTTGTATATCTCAAAACTATTGGGTGTCCTACGTATGTTTAGAGTTAATTGAATCTAGAGCTAATTTCACGTACATAATTCTGTCGCGTATTATTTCTACTTTGATTATTCGTTGTTGTAATGTTTCGTCGAGGATGATGCCGATTCCGTTTGTTATCGAAGATGTGCCGTTATACAACAGTTTCTACCAATATCCCTGGATTTATTGTTTATTCTTTTATTATTTATTGTATTTCGTGCATGCAATGTGTTTGCTAATCTTGGCAGCGTCCGGTAAGGGAATCGATGTTCCATGTAACTATATGTAGCTATATCCTCTCTATATAAGTCCTCATTTACCTGCATATCCGAAAATGTTGTGCTACTCGTATGTTGTGAAGTCAAGGAGTGGAAGTATATAAGCTGATAATTTACTTTTCGTACTCATAATTTAGTATTCGTTACAATCATACAATTAGGTACGAAATAAACTATAGTCTCAAGGGCTAGCTTAGCTCTACCAAGTATTAATAACATGTATATAATATTTGCAGATAAAGAAATTGAAGCCTACGTTGCACTCCTAGCGGAAATGGAAGCTGCCGGTGATAGTCCTCTTGTTGAGGGAAATATTCGTAAATCATATAAAGAAGCAGTTGCTTAGTAAATTATTACAATTACTGCTATTACAACCATAGAATACTATAATACACAATAGAATGGCTGTCAACCTTATTTTGTACGGGGTTCGGCGTCGCTAGGAGCACACATATAAGCAATTACGTCGTATTATCAGTTATCACTACTACAAACATTTTAGACTTTTGATTAATGTTTTTGACACATAAATATTTCTTTATTTTTGTTTCTAATATTCACAGAATATAAATAATTTCGATTTACTGGTTGTAGAATATGTCTCCTTTATTTAAATTCCATTTCCCGCTGTTCTTTCGACACGTAATTATTGCACAATTTGCAATTTTTTAAATAATTTGCATGCGGCGACGCTTGACACGAAAATTGGAAACGATTGATTGTGTTGACATTTACACGTGTGAAAAGACATGTTAGTGGCCACACGGGCTCCACCCATTCCCCCTTTCTATTATGTATGTATTATAGTATTCTATGAATACAACTGTACATTATAAATTATTAGTATTTTTATGTTATGTATCACTTTTTAACTCACTGACCTCTATATATGGAATGCACTAATTTCCTCATTATGTCACGGTGTATAGCCGTGAGGAAATTTGATTTTCGCCATTTTGGCAATGGCAGCTGAAGTGAGCGTCCACGGAACTAATAATAGAGACAGTGTTATAAAATATATCGATACAAATTCTACCCAGGCCTAACGTTCATTTTATGTATGTATCATATAATATAATGCCATACAATAAATAGACGTAAGCTTTACACCTCATATAAAACCAAGATCGATACTAATACTACGTAGGTCTATCTACGTTTTTATTCGTAACTACAGAACGGAATTTGCTCCGGGTTTCAACATTAGGTATGTTGGTTCGTTCGCGGGGCTTAAATATTCAATTAGCACCGGAAAATATTCAAGTGGTGTAAGTAACTATAAAATATAAAAATAAAAACATAATTTGGCAAAGAACTTATTGTCAACTGTTCATTCAGTTCTAGTAGTATATCAGCTGCTAAAATAATGCCTCTTCCATCGATATAAATGACAAGATAATATGGTCGTGTGAACAAAATTTTTGCGGTTTAAGCATATAAATCAGCGTCATCTCGTAAATACTCATGAACTACCACGGAACTAGAGTTTTTACTTATGATTTTGGTTTTACCCTAGAAGCTGTAGAAATAAATACTCCCTAAATTATCGCTTATTTATTGCACCTAATTTTTCAATATTTTAAAGAACAACATGGATTAAAAACTATTAAAAATCTTGAATTTTGTGATAAAGAAGACGTTCTCATATTCAAATTATATTAGTTTATAATTTGACGGCTCCGTGGCGAAGTGGCTTAGCAATGAGTGGCTGCGCTGGGGGTCGCGGGTTCGAATCACGTACGGAGCATGTATTTGTATGTCCTACAAGTAATTGTTCCAGGTCTGGATGTTTGTCCTTGTGCAATTTATGTTTGTAAACTGCCTCCACGATACAGGAGAAAATCCTAGTGGGGGGGGGGGGGGGGGGGTAACGTTTTAAACAAAATGGCATCAAAAATCATAACATCACATTTTAATGAATATAAAAATTTTATTGGTATTTTAATACATTTCATCTTTGAACATGTGGTATGGCGGTACTCTTGCCGGCCGCGCCGCATGTATAGTTAATATGTAAATTTCCTATTTAATTTTTGCGGTTTAATTGTTTATTTATTCTATAAAAAGGATAACATAAACAATCATAATATAACGATACCTAAAACTAGTGCCAGTGACCGGACGGGGATTTTTTACATATTGTATATTATTGCAAGAAACATCCGCCATAATAGAACTTTTGAAGTAGTTTTTGGATGATCATTTCAACCAATCTAGCAAATAATTCATATCCCTAGGTACTAAAAATATTTGAAAGCATTTGAAAATGTATATATATATATATATATATATATATATATATATATATATATATATATATAAGTAGAAGTACTTACATTACTATGATATATCTGACACAAATATATGTACAATTACAGTTTACGGCAGTTAACTTCATTTGAAGATCAGATAAAACGAGATGATAACACTCTCCGAAAAACAATTGAATCTAAGTTGGGAAAACTTATGGCAAATGTAACAAAAACAGGATATGGCAAATCAGATCTCGATCGTACGTACAGTTCAAGTTTTCTGTGACAAAGTAGTCAACATAACGATTGTGTGGCGCACTGACTTGCAGTGAGTAACAGCGCGTGGCCGCGTGTTCGAACCCCGCACGGAACAAGTATTTGTATGACCTACATACATAGTCACTATGTTTGACCTTGTGAAATTTATGTATGTAAACTGCTTCTACGATACAGGAAACAACCTAGTGTGAAGATAACGTTTATTTTAATTTTTTTAACCGTTTACCTGAAACAATAACGTTCTCCAGGCCAATTTTCGGTCATGGCGTCTGCACAGACAGGACTGTAAAACCCATCTGTATGCACAGGTGGTATTGGGTGCACTTTTTATTCCCTCACTCCCATAGTGCGATGATACAATCTGACCCAAACGGGGAGAGATCAGGCGCAGGAGCAACGACTTCACGTGCTTTCTTCTAGGGCATAAATTACCGCAGTAGTTACGTTGTACCAGTTCTGGCGCACTTGTAGAAAGGTTGTACCAGTTCTGCGCACGACGTACGTCGACTCACAATCCTAAAAAAAAAAAAAAGGTTTTGGCATGCTCTGACCACGAATCTGCGGTCCATTTTTGCGTAGGATGCACGGTTCCGGAGATGTGCAGATCAATTAACTCTTATCTAATTGATATCCGCTGCGAGCCTCAACCATCATTAGCGCTCCATTGTCCTTATCTACTTATCTATTGTTACATTTATTATACAATATCTATGTTACATTTATGCATTATGATTTTGATAACTCGCTTGACATAAGTTATAGCCACTTATTCGAAGGTAAAAGGAAGAACATCGTGCATGTCTGAAAACACAGCAAAGGGCATATACAAAAAACAAAGTAAAACAAAAATAATAGAATAGCGCTGCGGGCTCTTTCTAACTCCTTACTGACAAAAGTTGTGTTTTTCTTTTAATAGAATTTTAATATGTGTGTATATTTCAGATGTCATTCATCAAAACGCTGTACTTTTAACGTCTTACATCAAACTACAAGGTATACTCATATTTCTTATCTGTTTTAACGCCAGGAATATTTTACTAGATTTATTTTATATTATACGCAGGTGAGAAGACAGATGCTCTTAAAGTATTAATAGAACAAATGGACAAAGAAGGTGAAAATGTACTTCTGCGACACGGAAACCTTCGCAAAACATATCTTGACGGCGCAAACATGTAAATAAACATTATTACTCTATCTAAATCTACAATATTACCTGCATGTTTGATACATATTAATTATAATTTGTTTTGTTGACATATATTTCTCATTAATATCTATTGTACTGTTACAGCTTACGGACAAAGAATGCAAATCAATTAAATGTAGTAAACGCAGATCCCGTAGTTTCCAGGAAAATACAAATAAAACTTACAAATTTAATGCTTAAAGTTACACCAAATCAATACAGGGATCTTATGGACGGTGAGAATAATAATACTAATAACAATAATAATAATCGCTTAACTGGTTTTGTCTGTCGTAAGAGACGATTAATAATCCTTGTTCCACTTACAGAAATTTTGACGGCAAGGAGATAGACCGGATCCTTGACAGTACCGATTTACGTAGTACCTAGGGACCTCCCAATATAATATATACATACGAATATATATTTTGCTTCCGTATAATATTACTTACTAATCATCATCATCATCATTACAGCCCTTCACAAGTCCACTGCTGAACATAGGCCTCCCCCAAGGTATGCCACAAAGCACGGTCCTGAGCCACCTGCATCCATCGACTTCCTGCATGTCTTACCAGGTCGTCACTCCATCTAGTGGGGGGTCGCCCTACACTTCGCCTACCGGTACGAGGCTGCCACTCAAAACCCTTCTTCCCCAACGATTGTCGGTTCTTCGAGCTATATAGCCGGCCCATTGCCACTTACTAATACTTTACAATTTATATCTGTATCAAACATAGAAGCATAATCACAGCAGAGACGTATCTTAGCGGCCTGAGTTTCAGATAGTAATGTCATGCCTACTTATTTCATGTGTCCATAATATGTCCCTCACAATTAATTTAGTCTTTAACATGTCTTGTCACTTTCCATCAGATGTTGGGAGAACTGGAAGATGAGGATGTGCGTGCTCTTGACCTATAAAATAATAATTTTCACAATTAAAATTAAGTTTAAATTTAAGAATGATTTTATTATTAATATATTTTTGTTAATGATCTTTTCCGCGTTCTATTTCTTACTTATATTTTTAGAAGTTGTTCACGATGTTACAAATTATCTCGCTGTGCATTTCTTACAACCAGGTGAGATTATTTTGTTGTTCTTCCTGATTTTCCCTTTCTTTTATTTATTTGATATGCTTTATAATGTTTATTGTTTAATGGCGCAGAGGTAATTCAAGTCTGCAAATGTATGAAAAATGTCTTTGTGCAATGTGAACTATGGTGCGAAGAAATGTTGAGGCGAATGAACAGACCATATTGCACATGCTCTCGCCATGTAACTACCCAACAGCTCGCCGATGTCTGCCCCAATCGCAAGCTCTATCTCAGTCAAAGTGGATCACATCTTTTTGCTTCCGGTCTTCAAATCTCTCTTACCGACTGCCCTTCTAAACTTAATACGATCGGAGAATCATCACAGCCCTGCCCAGCCGCAAAACCAACAACTTATTGCCGTTCAAATACAACAGCTTCTTATGTTTTGTACACATCACAGGGACCATTTGATAACATCCCAACAAAACTATCTGAAGCAGATTCTTTACAGTCGCAAATTTTACAAGACCCGCAGTTTGTTTCATCATCACTTAACCCGCGTCTACCACTTAGACACGCGTTCTCTGATCATGTTCGAAATCTGCAAGCACATCAATCTACACAGAAGAACGCTTCTGTAAATTATGAGTCATCTGAAGTTGAATCATCGCACAAGTTTTGGCAATCGCCGACCACCATGTTTGCAGAAGTAAACTTACAGACATCAAACTTAACTAAGAAACCAGATAACGAGCTTATACCGGGCTTTTCTAAAAGGAATTATCAGCCTAAAAACGTATTTAGTTCCCGTAAGTGTAATTTTAAGTATATTTTTTACTTGTGGCAATCATATAATCTATCTTTAAAATATTTTTTCATTAAACAGGGACACCAATTATCACCACAGACCAAATGTTCGATTGGCATTCGATGATGGTTAGTTTGATATGGAACGTCCAAGCTTGGAGAGTTTGGATACAAGAAAATATCAATAAAGTTTTAGCCTACCACCATAATAGTTAGTTTTCAGTTTACAATTATATAATAGTCTACCATACTACCATAGTACAGTATAAGTAAATACTATATATTGTAATTTATTTTCAGTGGAGTTGGCGGAATCTTGGGCAGATTTTCAAAGGATAGTTTCAACAGAAATTTTGCAATGGCATCAGTACAGTACATTCAGTCTACAGCTCACGATACGTCTCGCTTCAAAGTATAATAATAAAAAAGTAATTTTTTATTTTTCTATTTTGTTTAGGATATTCTGTTTTTGTTTACATACATCTTAAATTAAGAGCTTTTATGTATAAATTTACAGCCTATATACGTCCCACGGCTAGACACACGCTTCCTCTCATTTCTGAGAGGGTTTTAGGGCAAGGAAATGTCGGTGCTACCCTCTTCTATGCTACTTTCATATTCTTGCTCTGTTTCTGAGTCATGGTTTAGCTGTGTAACACATTCCTCTTCATTATCTTCTGTATCACTCGGCGCAATATCACTCACAACCTTCACTTCTTCCAACCAGCATCGTATTATATTATCCTGACGTTTGTCCATAATGGCGACAAATCTGTCATGAACAACACAAAATTCATATCAAAATATACAAAAGTCTTGCAATGCAAATGCGTATTGGCGAACTTCACATATCTTATTTTTTTTTATTTCTCGTACAGATTTCCTCAAGATGTTCCTTCACCACCGAGCACGTGGTAAATCAGCACTTAAAGTTGTAATTAACTATTTCATTTTTGCCGATGGGGATCGAACCCGGGTTGCTCACAGGTACTATGAAATTTACACAGAGGGCTTAGCTCCTAAGCTAACATAATCCTTTTGTATAAGGCGTTAGGACTAACTAAAATACTGAAGTAAAATAACTTATTCAATTTCGGTAGTTATGTTTCTTTCCTTTGAAATAAAGGATGAAACGTATATTCATGATGTTTATAAACTTGAAACTATTACATTTTACATCCAGATCATATCACCAACGAGAACTACTGTCAAAACAAAAGCATTCTTGGAGAGTCACAATGAAATGTTGGAAATAATTGATATGTTCAGTAAATGGACACAATGGTTAACTGTTATTGTAAGTTTGTTAGTATTTGCATATTTAAAACATTCAAAATTTCTGTCTTATACAAATAAAATCTTCTATTCTTAATCCGATACAGATAAAAGAAACTGATTCACTACTGGGGCAGAATTTATATTCTCAGTAAGTGAATTTTAATTTTAAATAAAACTTGATAGCATATTAAACAAATTATTTTTATAGATTATTTATTTTATCAGGCGATGGCAAATTCTTACGCAGAAGGTTAAAGAGCAAATAAAAGACTGGAATAATTACAACCGACACTTGATATACTTTTGGGAAAATAAGTTTAAAACTTTAATATCAGGTAACTACATCTTTACATATTACTTCTATCTAATAAATAAAAGTTAATGTTAGTTTCTTCTTATTTTATGCGCTGCCATACCGTCGTCGTTCATCAAATTGCGGTAAAACTTTGTCAACTTAGTACTTGCACTTGCGCTACTCAGTAAAATTAACATGTAGACGGATCTGTTTTCACCCGATCGTAGATACTCTTGCTTTATAATTTTCCTGCTTAGTTATTTAAAAATTACAAAATAAATGTAGTTTTAATGAAGCAAAAGTATCCTAATTTGTGATTTTTCAAACTTTTAACTCAGAAAATATTAACTTTATCGTAAAAAGTTATGGGGCCTTTTTATTCGTATTATAAAAAAATACTTTTAATACTTTATTCTTTTTCTTCATTTATTTTCAATGGGTCATAAATATCCGAATTTTGAGATTTTTCAAACCTTTCAACTCCGAAAATATTAACTTTATCATAAAAACTTATGGGACATTTTTTATTCGTATTTTATCAAATAATATAAAAAATGGTCTTGTTTAAAAATTATAATTACTTGAAATTGAAAAAAACGGTTTAAACAATATGGCACCGAGCTGCCCCATAGCAACATGCATTTATATCATCAGTAGGACAATTTGAAGAGAATCGCATAAAAAATTGAGATGGAATAGTTTTCGAGACTCATGATCCGTTCCTCCTGGACTAAAAGAAAGCCACGTAGGATCACTTTGATAGTTATCCGTTCGTCTGTCCTTTTGTTAAGACTTCATTTTCCTCTGGACCGGGTACCAGGCATTATTGAGTTGAAATATATATCAAACACTAAGGTATATCCCCTTGATGGTTAAAGATTCGAGCTTACAAGCTACGTTTACTACGCTTACGTACATGTGCTTGCAGACATACTTATTAAACCGATACAGTATTTGCTGTTGAATATAAATTGAACAAAAAATTCGGTAAGAAGCAAGGACTCGCGGCACAAGTAATAGAAAAAATCTAAATCGTTATATCACAAAAATACTAACACAAAGTAGTGAGAGTAACTACAAACATACATTTGTAGTCGAAGCATCGACCGTATTGTAGAGCGATGTATGTGACTTTTTTTCCCAATGCAAAGTTAGATTTGTCCTACAATCCGATTAACCTTTTCTTAAGAGTAATATTCTGTGGGAAGCACTTCCCTTGATATAAATCCTGCCAGGTCAAACTGTGCTTCCCTTCCCTTGATATAAATCCTGCCATGGTCAAACTGTGCTTCCCTTCCCTTGATATAAATCCTGCCTTTGTCAAACTGTGCTTCCCTTCCCTTGATATAAATCCTGCCATGGTCAAACTGTGCTTCCCTTTCCTTGATATATAAATCCTGCCATGGTCAAACTGTGCTTCCCTTCCCTTGATATAAATCCTGCCATGGTCAAACTGTGCTTCCCTTCCCTTGATATAAATCCTGCCATGGTCAAACTGTGCTTCCCTTCCCTTGATATAAATCCTGCCATGGTCAAACTGTGCTTCCCTTCCCTTGATATAAATCCTGCCATGGTCAAACTGTGCTTCCCTTCCCTTGATATAAATCCTGCCATTGTCAAACTGTGCTTCCCTTCCCTTGATATAAATCCTGCCATGGTCAAACTGTGCTTCCCTTCCCTTGATATAAATCCTGCCATGGTCAAACTGTGCTTCCCTTCCCTTGATATAAATCCTGCCATGGTCAAACTGTGCTTCCCTTCCCTTGATATAAATCCTGCCATGGTCAAACTGTGCTTCCCTTCCCTTGATATAAATCCTGCCATGGTCAAACTGTGCTTCCCTTCCCTTGGTATAAATCCTGCCGTGGTCAAACTGTGCTTCCCTTCCCTTGATATAAATCCTGCCATGGTCAAACTGTACTTCCCTTCCCTTGATATAAATCCTGCCATGGTCAAACTGTGCCTCCCTTCCCTTGATATAAATCCTGCCATGGTCAAACTGTGCCTCCCTTCCCTTGATATAAATCCTGCCAGGTCAAACTGTGACGAATTGACACAGCTAAAATGAAGTTAATACGGAACGATCTTGGACTTGGTTCTACCAGCACTTTCCCGGTGTAGGTATATGCTAGGTACCGAAGTCAGATTTAACCGCATAGGTTAGATTTAACCGGAATTTTACGTAAGTCCTAAAGTGCGCTTAAAACTCAGTTACAACGAATTTGTCACTTTATTATACCTGTGAAGATTGGATACCTGGGCAGCCTGGAGCAGTGTGGGTGATGAGTGCTTGTGGCGCAGTACCAAGCGGTGCCGTGGCAGCCGGCGTCTGCGACGGAGAAGTCATATGGGTTGCACGCACAACTCAAAAGTATGTATTTTCCAGTAGTTTGATGTCATTTCTCTGCTGTTGGGAATTTTCCTTAAAATTTTGTTTTGGACTATTATTCCCGCTACTCATCGTCTCTCTATATGTTTAATGCTGGAAAAAAAAAACTTATTTACCCAGAGACTGACGAAATACTGTCCTGAGCCAATTGTATCTATCAACTTCCTGTGTTTAACACAAGGTGTGCGTACCTTGGCGGTAATTGCACCTTGCACTACATTTTCCAAGTCGAAGCAGCCATTCGTAAAATTTCCGTCGTTATAGGTTTTTGATTGTACGAGCTATATGCCTAAAATTTCAGCTCATATACTCCTGTTGTATGGATAAAAAATGTGTTTTTTCAACACAGGTGTAAGATTCTACCTGCTGCTTTGTATCCATCGAAGCATTGTTGCATACTTTACACTGGAGGTCGGACAAAACATTATACTAAATATCAGGTACAGTGTTACAAATAAAATTTTATAAAATAACATTTTATTAAATCACTCATATATTACCTAAGCCTGTAGATAGTTTGTCCCTTGTTCGTCCTTCAGGTTATTTACTGAATACGACTTGTACTATTTAACTCCACTTATTATAAGGTAAGGTAATAATTTCGTTTGTCAATATTACCGTTATAGCCTATCAAGAGTTCATTGTTGAACAAAGGCCTGCCTCATTGATTGCCTCTTCCTCAGACATTTCTCTTCTTTAGAATCGCTATGATTTGAAAGTCGATAAAACGAAAGAGCGATACTAATAAAAAGAGACAAACTACATTTATAGGATTTAGCCCGCTAGAGAATGAGGTTTCCGATTATCTCGGTTTCCTTGTTTTGCACTACACAAGTTTTTATTTTTATTTTAATAACTTTTGTAGGTGTTGTGCAACGCCAGAGTGCAGTGGGTGGCGTTTCGTGCGGGCGCGGTGCCGGCGCGTGCGGTGCGTGTGGGCGACGTGTGCGTGGGCCGCGTGCGGGTGCGCACCGCGCACCTGCTGGGGCCCGTGCGCCCGCCACGCCATCGCTGCCATGTCGCCATTTTCGGACGACCCTTCGCCTTCGACTGCTACGAACTGCTTGTCATGGACGACGACGAAACGTGATGCGGCAAGAGTTGTTTACAATTACATCTTTTTCTGTACAAATTGTAGTGTTTTGAAATTTGTGTTCGATGCTGAGATTTCACAATTTTATAAATTGTAACAGAGTTTTGTTGAGAATGTTGATGACTCCAGATTGTTGTTTGATGTTTCGATGCTATTATCATCGCGAATAATAGGCATCGCGAGTTTTATGTCTTTGTATATTGAGATCCTTTGTAACTTATGTTGATTAGATATCCAAGAGAGAAATTTAAGTTTATTGTAGTTTCTACGAACTAAAATCAAACAAACGTACAAACTATTAGTGCGATTGAGTTGTAATTGTAAGCTACAGTTTGTAAGATTTTATTATTCTATTTTGAGTATTCATAATTTGATAAAATCTACAATACAATTTTATTTTATTATTCAGTGCCGAGTTTTTTTTTTTCTACAATTAAGGTACCTACGTAAGGGTAATATGGTATAATACCTTAAGCTTTGCCGTCCTATAAAACCGAAATTGCAGAAGGATGAAGACAAAAACACAAAGTCGTATACTATAACTAATGTATTAAGAAAAAAATTGCAAACTAATTTTAGCAATAATACGGAACACTTCCAAAAATATTTTTAAAAATACTGACTACACTACACCATACTAAAATCGACTATATCACTATACTATAATGTCAACAGTCAAAATGCCGTCGATAAAGCAGCGCATTTTTGACCCTTTATTATTTTATTGACTCAAGAAGAGCGATCTTATCACAAAGCCATCTATTCAGACAAGGCTGTAGTTTTTGAGTTATAAGAAAGTGACCTATTAACCGGATGACCACATTAGCCTCACGTACTATACTTAATGGTGTGGTATTGGAAAACTCAAAACTTTTAAAACAGACTATCGAAGAATCTCAGACTACACCATTGAGCAATTATGTACTTCGTACATATTACTTCAATGGACTACACAAATGTTTACAAACAAATAACGACATGAGAGGACTACACTGAGCTTCCAATAAGATCTGGACCGGTTATGTCAATGTTGCACTGATAACAAAGTTAAACTAGTCCTAATAACCCATGTCACACAGTATTAAAAGAAAGTGCCGGTTATTAGAAATCTTGGAGTTTATCATGACGCTAATCTAATTTTGATCACATTCAGCACATCTTTAACAGGGTATTTTATAAGTGCTTTCTTTCAAAATTATCAGGTATGATTGAATTTCATAGTATGATTGGTCTCAACAAATTTTCGCTGCCTAGTTTAAATCAGCGGCATATGTTCCTGGACGCTATTAATTTTTTAACCTTTTGAGCGAAATAAGAAATATCACAACCTATATGTTAACATCTAGAATGTCGTTTAAAAAATACTTACTTCAACAATTTCACCCACAACTTTTTTACTCTTATGGGTGTAATTATTTTTTTCATTTTAAATGGGACCCTGGTACCTACCTATAGGTTGTTTCATAAAAAGAATAATCATCAAAATATGTTCACAGTTAGCGAAGATATAGTTAACATTAAAAAAAAACTGTCGGATTGAGAGAACCTCCTTTTTTGAAGTCATGCGTTGCAATGGATTTTTTACCTTCAACTCTAGCTGATTGGTAGACTTATTTGCATGTTACAGTAGCGTAATAATAACTATTATTGAATAAAACAAAAGATTAAGTAAGTATATTTATTAAATCCATCACCAGTCTTATGTTTTACAATATGTTTACAATTGTTCCTTGGAATTATTGTCCTGTTCAACGTGAACTCTTTCCACGACTCCCGCCGTGCCCGACAGTCGCAACAAGTCACCAGTTACGAAAACGTCTGTAGCACTCGTTGCGCCAACTATACACGGCAAGCCGTATTCACGAGCTATTACAGCACCTAAAATGCATGATAATATGTATAGTTATAGAATATTACAACATATAAATGAGATACTCCATGGAAATCCGCTGTGAAGTGCGTATAGTGATAACGATAACCGAACAACTCTTGCGTCGCTCATAATTGGAATTCGAGAAAAGCATAAGTAGGTATTCTACTTTTACTATAATATATAAGAATAAATAATTCAAAATTGATATTTTATTTTGTATCAAATAATAGGTGTGTAATTTAACTGTCCAAATAGAAAAATTAATAACCAAATAATACTGAGGGACTTGGTGAAAAAGTTTTACACAACCTAAAATCACTTGAAACACTCACGTTCCCTTTAACCGGCTTTATGTTTTATGTCATCAAACTGACATTAATTTATGGGTTGTCAGAATAAAGGGAAAGTTTTCTGTAGTCCTTTATCGATGAATTTAACTAAACAATTGATCTACCTATAAAATTTATGTAATGTACATAGTAGTTTTACAAAAGCATTATAATAAATCACAAATAAAAAAGCGAAAATATTTAGCGATTGGCTTCAATGAGGCTGATATTGATAAAAACAATTCTTACCATGAGAGATGAGGCCGCCAAGCTCGGTGACAATGCCGCTCAGGAGCGGGAAATATGGTGACCAGCCAATATCAGTGGAATGCGTTATCAGTATATCTCCTCGCTGCAGTTGGTTGATCTATACAACAAACGAGTTTAAAAACATTGTGTTTAGTTTTTCATCAGCATCTTGAGATTTTAAACTTGTCAGTGATTATGATTCCGAATAATCGGATGCTAGTGTTAACAAGTAGGTATAAACGCAAGCTAAAGCACTCGCCCGTACAAACCTGTCCCTGTTAAAACATGCTGAAACACGCTAGGATGTTATGTTAGAGACATAGAAACAATAATAACACCACGAGACCACATTTTGGCTCCGATTTTTATTTGCACCCAGTAGTATCCAGGAATCTGGTCTGGTTATCATCAAAGAATATCTATCAATATATCGTTTAGGAAAAATGTCATCAAATCAAGTTACTTTACGGAAATATTTTCCGCCATATAATGGTAGCAATTTAAGGAACATATCTCGTAAGAAAAGTTAAAAGGGTAAGTTAGATTGTAATAAAGTATAGTACATCAAGAGGCCTCCGACATTTGCCATTAACACATCGCTGTCGCAAACTGTCAAAAGTGCACTTACTGGACATAGGCCTAATTTCCTTTCATTTTCATTCCTTAAAGACTATTCCAACTTGTGTTTGCGGTCTAGCCTGATGTAAAATACCCATGCGACGGATATCAGAGTAATACAAAATCTCTTCTGAATAATAATAATATAAAACCTTTGTCTAACAATAGTTCGCGCTGATGATCATCATCATTCTTCATTACCGCCCTTCACAAGTCCACTGCTGAACATAGGCCTCCCCCAAGGAATGCCACAAAGCACGGTCCTGAGCCACCTGCATCCATCGACTTCCTGCATATCTTATCAGGTCGTCACTCCATCTAGTTGTGGTCGCCCTACACTACCCATACCGGTACGAGGCTGCCACTCGAGAACCTTTTTTCTCCATCGGTTATCAGGAGTTTGGGCCATGCTTACTAATCCGCTGAGCTATGTCGATCACTCTGGCTCTACTGCGAATATCCTCATTTTTTATTTTATCACGCAGAGAAACCCGGAGCATAGTCCTTTCTATAGCTCGCTGAGCAACCTTGAGCGTCCTCATACTGCTAGCACTGAGGAGCCACGTCTCAGATCCGTAAGTCATCACTGGCAACACGCACTGGTTGTACCAGTGTCAGTTATAACTGACGCGAAGTTGCGCTGATGATATAAAGATAAAACCAAAAATACTGTCTTAAGTTATCTTAATTAAAATTTAAATATAATCAAAAATATTTAAAAATTATTTGTATCCACACGCCTTAAATAATTAAGAACCTCTAAGAAACCTACGTTATCTTTTAGAGGGAGGGCTTTAGAGCTCATTCAATTTACTCGTGGTTAGCTGTGATGATAGTGATGATCATGTGTACATGTTATTACGAATGCTATGCCATGTGGTGGTGGTGTATGCGAATCAATCACCCCATTAAGTTGCGTGTTTTTTTATAGAATAAGGCCCGTTACACACTACATACTGAATTCCGTTTCGGAATCCCGAAACAGAACGAACGGGACTGCCACACACAGACGGAATCCCGTTTTGCCCGCAAAATTCCGGAAAACTATCGTAGGTGTGTGACGGGTCATTGATTTAATATGGACTTGCTGCTTTCGGAATCCCCTAGGTATGTGGCCGACCTAAGGGTGACAAACGAGCACACGGGCCGCCTGATGGTAAGTGGTTACTATGGTCTTTAGACATCTACATCCATTTTCGTTTGCGAATCAGAATGAAGATGCGATGTCAGCCTTGAGGACTAAGATAGAATGCCTCGTTTCCAGTAAAATGGGTCTCCGGTTCTCTACATTCACCATACGAAACACAGCGGCATTAAGCTACTGTTTTACGCTCGTATACTGTAAGAGCGTGAACCCATTCGTGCTACAACTACTACTATTATAACTGCAGCATGGCTCTACGATATATAGGAAATACCGCCTATAAGTGTGTGTTTTAAAAGGCAACTAGAAAACGTCAGAAAGGTCTAAGGATTTTATGTAGGTTCCGGTATAACAAGCTGGTTTACGCCAGATGTAAAATAACCAAACCAATACCAGTGTTGAGGAGCAGCGTCTGTTACTGTGATCGTCAGTCTGCCAACCGAGCGTGGTGATTAAAGCAAATCCACCCTGCGATGGGAACTGGACGAGGCTCTTGCCCAGCGGTGAATTTTTAGAGTATGAAGGAGAAAACTTAGTAATGCGATTTTCTTACCTCCGAGAGATCCTTTACAACACATGCTCTGGCTACCACCTCTCCTCCACAAACAGACGTCGCTTCAATTCTGACGTCACCAACAGTGACCTGAAGCCCTTGAACATTAAGCGGCTCTAACCATCCGGTATTAATTTCTGCGAATTTCAATTTACACCACCCGGGGTAAAACTGTTGTCGTTGTATCGCTCTGTCAAAAAATATTCAAAAATGAAGTGTCTATAAACAGTA